GAGTTCCCCAAGGTTCCATCTTGGGACCCCTTCTGTTTAACATCTACATGCTCCCACTGGCACAGATTATAAACAACAACAAAATAAACTATCACAGCTATGCAGATGACACACAAATATATATCACAATGTCACCAGGAGACCGAGGCCCTGTACAGGCTCTTGGTAAATGCATTGAGGAAATCAATGACTGGTTGTGCCACAATTTTCTCCAGCTAAACAAAAACAAAACTGAGGTAATAGTCTTTGGCGCCAAAGAAAAACGATTACAGGTCACCAGAGAACTTCAATCTATACATCTAAAAACCACAAACCAGGCGAGAAATTTGGGTGTAGTGATGGATGCAGACCTAAACTTAGAAAAACACATTAAGACAATAACAAAGTCAGCTTACTATCACCTCAAGAATATATCAAGGATAAAAGATCTGATGTCTCAACAGGACCTGGAAAAACTAGTCCATGCATTCATCTTTAGTAGGCTTGATTACTGTAACAGCATCTTTACAGGTCTACCTAAAAAATCAGTCAGACAACTACAGCTCATTCAGAACTCTGCTGCTCGAGTCCTCACTAAGACCAAAAAAGTGGACCACATCAGTCCAGCTCTGAGGTCCTTACACTGGCTGCCTGTCCGTCAGAGGATAGACTTTAAAGTTCTGATGCTGGTCTATAAAGCTCTGAATGGTTTAGGACCAAAATACATCAATGACCTCCTGACCCAGTATGAACCATCCAGATCCCTCAGGTCATCTGGATCCGGTCTTTTATCAGTTCCCAGAGTCAGAACCAGACACGGAGAAGCTGCATTCAGCTTTTATGCTCCTTATATCTGGAACAAACTCCCAGAAAGCCTCAGATCAGCTGAAACACTCAGTTTATTTAAATCCAGGTTGAAGACTCACCTGTTCTCAGCTGCATTTGAATAAAGCACCAAATCCACACTTTAAGCTTAAATTTCAAAACTTACATTTAACTACTGATTTTATCTACTGTTCTGATTTTATCTGTTTTGATTTTATATACTGTTGTTTGTTTGTTTGTTTGTTAATTAGTTAGTTAGTTTATTTGCTAGTTTATCATGCTTTTTATTTGTTCTTGTTTCTAATGTCTCTGTAAAGCACTTTGAATCACCTTGTTGTTGAATTGTGCTATACAAATAAACTTGCCTTGCCTTGCCTTGCCAAAACACCAGTCAGTCAGAAGTGCCAGCTTGATGCCAAATCTGGGCCAGACCTGTTTTCTGTAGGCCTGGGCCACATACACCAAGCCACAATCAAGCCAGATATGGCATGCCATCTATGCCAGGCCTGTCCCATATCTGGATGACATACGTCTTATCATGCCAGAAGTCAGCCAGCAGTGCCGACTTGATACCAGATCCTGGCCAGACCTGCTTGCTATGTGGGCACTAACACAGACACAGACACAGTTACTTTACCAACTGACCCCTGACCCCTGAACTCCTAAGTGTCCCGCAAATCTCATTCAGGGATCCACTCCTCTACTTCAATGTCACTCCCTGAAAGCTCACTTTTCTCACTTTCTGAGGAAAGGAAGTGCAGATTCCCTTGGTTTCCTTCCATAAAAGGTATTAAGTCCATGTCATGTAATTATGAGTAGATTGTAAATAAAAAAAAAATTTACTATGATCATATAAATGCACACAAACACATCTCTACACACATATGCAAATGCATTATATTGCCTGAAAAAACTTGGGCTAACTGCACAGTGTTGCCTTGAGGCAACGAATGAAAATAAACAGTTTTACTGTATAAATAAATTTTAAAAAGTAGAACAAACAATCAAATATGCTTCTTAACATATTCATGCACATACAAGTATTTTTTAATATACATTTATTTCACTATAAACATGTAAAATAGTGCCTCCTAATGGAGATGTCTCTCATGTAGTGCAGCTTGCAGAAAGGGGTCCTCCCCCCCAAAGAATGAAAGTCACACCATCTTCAACTCATCATTTTATTGGATAGAGATGTGTCTGGTAGCATTATTTTAAAAAACAAAAAAAACAAAGTGGTTTTTTTTTGAAGGGCCAGTGTAAGGCATGAAAATGTCTACGCTATGCTGTAGAGGGTTAAGATATGGTAATATGGCAAAATCTCCAACATTACGGTCATCAGAGCATAAAACAGGATAGGTCAAACTATCAGACAGGTCGCGAACAGGCCAACCACTGAGTCAAGTTGACTAAGCCACTGTAATAGGAGTGTCCTTGACATCCAAAGCGTCAGTGATAATCCCTCACAGCACAAGAAAGCATAGTCGAAACAGTAAGTGAACAAAAAGTTGCTCTACAAACTGTGTTGTCCTATCAACAGTGGTACCCCTGCTTCCCTTCCAGTTATGATACTGCAAAAGACTGTGGCAAGTAAAGTAAAATGTAGTTATTACCACAGGAAGAAGAAAAAACAAAAACATACAAAGCAACTTAAATGACTTAAATGATTGTAACTGTACTGCAACTGTCTTCACAAATATTCACAAACCAGCCAGCTGAGCCTTATTTTATTTAGAGGAGTTGTGTCAGATGTGCAGCACGGATGATTGCTACTGTCTTTGCCTTTGATCATCTATCAGGACTCATAAAGACCAGATATTTACTGAATGATGTGTCCGAAGTGTCCAGTGTAACAAATATTACTAAATTGGTAGTGAAGTGGTATAAATGGAGTTTTCTCCACCGGAGCATTTTGTACATATAACAAACAATGCACATTAGCATCATTTGTTACTGCCATGTCAAGTGTGCCTGATGTGGGTGTAATATGAATTTTCTGCTTATTGGATTTAGACAAAAATGCCAGCCAACTGCCTCTGGAAGACCTCTGGAGATACAGAACACAGGCAGAGCATGAAAAACATTTAAAACAGGCTACAAAACACTCACTTTTTCATAGATATGAGAAAGAATATCAAGATAATTTAAAACATGTAAAGTTACACGTTAAAATGCACTAAGACCTAAAAAGAAAGCGGAAAAGTCAAAGTAAGTTGTGCATTTTCTGCATAGGAATTACATTTTGACCAATAAATTAGCCCACATGTTGTTTCTTGTGGGTTGTAATACACGTTTTGTTTTCCTGGTTAGCAAATGTATGTTTTGTTCTTTTCTTACCTCCATTGTACCTATCTTTGTCACAGTACTTAAATAAACAAGTTATAACACATTTATATTCAAATCAAATCATTTTGATTTGATTTGATAACACATTTATATTGCGTGCTTTTACTAATATGCAGCGGCTCTATCTGATGAACTTGAACTGCTTCTCTTGAGATTACTGTGCATGTAACTGGTTTTCTCAGAGCTGGATCTCAGTATTGAAAAGAAACCATGAGTAGCATCACAACTGTAATATGGTTTGCAGTTTAAGTAGTTCTGTTTTGTGTATCCCAATTAAAGCAATGGTGGCAGATGTTTGAATATGGTTTATGTAGATAATTAAAAGTCTGAAAAGTGAGGATGTTTATTATATTGAATGAAAAACTTTACAATTTTACATATACATATATATATATATATATATATATATATATATATATATATATTATATATATATATATATATCTGTAAATTACTTCGTATTGCTCAATTAGCTGCTTGAGGCAAGCAGTCTCAATTGCGTCAGAAGAATTTACTGATCTTACCTTAAAACTGTAATTCATGATTTTCTCTGGATTTAAGATTCCCTCGCCGAGTTAAAAACAACAACAAAAAAACAAATCTGCTGTGGGGGGGCCCACAGCAGATTATCCATCTTATTCTATCCCTACCACCTGCTTTCTTAACTATCTCTCAAAAACACTGCACCTGAGCTGTCCTTCTGATATACTCATTTCTCACCCTGCCTATTGAGGTCACGTCCACTGAAAATCTTTGCATCCTTAACTCTGACATTGCCCTCAACCCCCTCAATCTTACCTGCGCTCACTTCTTCACCTCTATTCACTGTGCGTTGGCTTTACTAACTAGCATCTTCACCATTCCCCCTGCCTCCCTCTCAGTCACATGTTAGGTATTCTCACCGTTTTAAAATACTTTTAAATGACCAAATCTGTAGAAAATGCAGCAGCTGAGTCACTGATAATGCAGTCACAGAGAGCTAATAATTGGGGGGGAAAGACAAGCAAAAAGCAAAGCACCACAAACCCTACACATAGAGGCTTTGGATCTTGTCTAACTTTAGCACCAAGTTGGAAGGCCTGGCAAAACTTGCATCAAAACACCACTTCTCATTCAGAGTGACGGATTGTTTACTTGTCAGAATTAGATTTTCTCATTAAGTGATAAGAGACCAAATATGGCAACAAAGATTTCAACATGACTTCTTGCCGCAAGCACGTAACCACTCTGACATCTGACACTGTGTGATCAAAGGAGGATCATTTGCACAAACCTTGGCCACTGTAAACACCCTTAAGGAACCTCAGTGTTGCTGAACAGCTAGGAGGATGTAGTGTGAGGAGGATACATCACCCATGAAGTAGGGACAAACACAAAGTGGCGGAAATCCAGAAACCTGTAGAACAGGGATATTATTTTATAGAATCTATTCAGGTGATCTGACATAAAAGTTGGTTTGGTCTTCTTACCTTTAACTCGTAGTGAAATCTTTTTTTAGGTGAAGGAGGCAAAGACTGCGGACTGGCTTTAAACCCCCCCCCAGCTTGCGTCACTTTAAGAGCAGACCACTGAAACTTGACACTTGTCTTATGTTAAACCTATAGTATGCCCCTACAAGTCAGACATTCTTACTTATATTTAGCAACCGTCAGAGGAGCCACTGGCAACTGAAATAATGCCATATCTGAAAGATGACGCAACACCTCTGAAATAAATCCTTTCTTTATTAAGTCTACATTTCAATTATGTTGAGACAGCCAAGGAGGCAATGACTAAAGTCCGGGTTTTTATTCAATCACTGTGATTTGTGATGTTTGAATAGGTCCCTCACACACACACACACACAGGTATGATCTTAAATCATGTTTTTATACCTTTTTTCTTTAAAAAAGAAAATGGTTTCGTTTACACTGTACCTTTGCTTCTGTTTGTAGCAATATATCGTAACAAAAACAATGACAAAGAAGATAGTTTTTAACATTTCTTCTTTTAAGAGGGAGAAACCAAAATACTTATCCAGTACTAAATTCACAATGGTACAAATAAATAATAATCTCGATTTGATCATCTCTTACTGAACAACAAGCAAGGTTGATCAAAGTCTTAACATTTCTAAATCTAATAGGAATTAATAATTGCTGGACAGAGAAAATGCTGCATTAAAACAACATCACTGCTTCAGCATACTAACAAGATGGTGGCATCTAGTGGTGAAACACTTTTAGCTCAAACAATGTGGCCTGGCAAGAAGATCTTTATTTTAAAATTAGATTTCAACACATCAAAATGAATATTTGCAGTAAGATGTTTTTCCGGATGCCTATGTACAACATACTGAAGGTTAAAATTGCAATTTAGCGTTAGAAAGTCTCTGGAGTATTTTGTTCCACGAGGAATCTAAAACGAGTGAACACAATAATACGACAAGTAACAAAAAAGCTAGACAAATTCCTTTAAATGCACACAGATTCATAAAAAAAAGTCACTTTACTTTTCACAAATGCAAAAACAACAGACATCCATAAACTGCATTAATACCTGCATCAGCTAAATGAAACTATATAAAACTTCTGAATATGTGTAATTGTTGAGATGAGATATTTTTAACTATCTAAAAATAAAATTATGTACACTGTAAGGCACTTGTGGCAGCCAAAATATTGTGTACATGAAAAGGCAAACCTCGTCCATGTTAGAAAAGCATACAATCACATTTAGGACTAATTATGACATTTTTAAATCAACATAACAAATTAGCAGTGCAATAAATATTTACAGTCGCTCTCTTGTTTTTTTAAAGATCAATGCTGCATCCTTGTTGTACTTTGTTCTCTTTAAGTTTTTATTTCACACAACCAGGCTCTCCCGACTCACAGCTCCATTCTGCAAAACAAGAAAACTCATTAACTCACCCAATAAACTAAAACAGACTCTCTTGATAAAAAACAAGCAATGTGTCATTGGCCCTGAAGATGTATTAATAGAGTAATTTCAGTAATGACTTTTGCCTTTTCATAAGAAGTAAAAACATAGATTATCATCAAACCAATACACTTACAGCAATCTCAACTTCTGTGACTCACCTTGCGGAGGTTGCTTTTCTTTTCATCTTCACTGTAAGGCGGTGGTGGTGGAGGCGGGTAGTCATTGTGCCGGCCAGGGTTTCCAGAGGGTGGGTTCACAGGTAGTGGAGGTGGCCCACGTGCCCCCCTCCCCCGATCTGAGCGGTCGCTCTCGCTGTCCAATCGCTCCTGGCTCCGCGCCCTCTGCTGCTCACCCATCCTCTTCCTCTCCATGGCTTCTCGTAGAAAACTGTCATCGTAATCCTCACGCCCGCCCCTTGCACCACCACCATACCGGCGATCCCTCTCCAGATCCATTATATCGTCACGACTGTGGCTGCGCCGTCCTGGGAGATCCCCGTAGGCTCCACCCTCTCCTCTCCGGCGATCGGGGGAGTAGTCACGACGTCTGCGGTCATCATAGTCACGATCATAGCCATTCCGGGCGCTGCTGCTCCACCCATCATCAGAGCTAAAGAAACACAAAACAGCACATTGAATTTGCTGAACTGTTTTCAGCTACTGTCGTGTTCCGAGTCTCACTTTAAAGTTCAGGTGATGTTTACAACCAAACATTGCATCTGTAATTGGTAACAGGTTAACTACTCATGATACTGTGACTCCACATGGGATGGAGGTTATGGTTCCCAAATGTCCGTATGTCTTATCAACATTACATATAAATATCTTCTTTGCTCAAAAAAAGAAAAAAAAACTAAAGGAAAACTTTAGATCTGTATACAGAACTGGGTATACATACTAGACTGGATCATGTGCTAGGAGTGAAACGATACCAACCACATCGCTTGATGGAAATGACGATTATCAACCTACAGAGATAATGTCCTCCATGCCTTCTCCAGACCCCTCCACATCTCTCATATATGAAAAGAATTTAGGTGTTTATTTAAATATCAGCTTCCATATGAAATATATACATTACATCTTAAAGAACAAAGGAGCATGAAGGTACAAGGGTGCAGACCACAGAGCTGTCGGAATGCTACTACACAATCCCAGCAGAAGAGGTTACATGAAGAAGATGTGGGAATTATGGAATCTTCTATACCTGACATCTAGACTAACTGTGAAACAACTAGTAGTTCAGTGTAACATCTGGAAGAGGCAACTGATATCACAACTAGAGATCAATGAGGTACAACACATATGCTATGGACGGGGGTGGGGGGGAAGGACATCAAGTTTGACATTGGGTACCAAGGTCCAACAACAATTAGTGCGATGAAGGTGTTGAGTGTTGAGAACACGACAAAGAAATAAATTTTGAGCTTATGACTAACAGTGATGTCTGAAATCTCTGTGAAACTTTACTAAATGACTTGCTGCACATATCTTCAAACATCAAGCCGATGACGAAAGGTAAATGGTGTGATATGCTAATATGGATCCTTTCTTTAGTGAGCTTGTGTGGAAAGTACATGCATCACTGAAGATGTAAACCACAAAAAAAAAAAAAAACTAGGGCAAATTTATCAGCTGCACTTTGTCATCAGGCTAAATTAGTTTACAATTCCCTTCACTCTGATGAAACACATTTGGAAATTACCTTGAGCCAAGGCTTAACTAGGCAGACATAGTTGATTGTTTGAACAAAAATGACACAAGACCTGCTAGAATTTCTGTGCCACGATATCTAATTTATTCTTATATATTTAAGTTTGATAAAGTGATAACATTGTGATACTGAAAGGTTGCGGTTGAACTGACACTATGTGTGGGTGACTGAACATTTCAGTTAAACAATTTGCACATGTCTCTCTTTACTTTGAAATGGTAAATAAATGATCCTGTAATGAGAGATATATGTACATGGTTCATCTTTACACTAAGACAATTACTGTGAAACTTCAATGATGCTGCACATGGTACAGATTATGCTGAAAAAAAACTGCTAAATGATGTGATGATGGCAACAAGGAGGTTACTCGAGAAACTAACACTCACCCTCTTCCTCCTCTGGAGTCTGGGCGGCGTTGTGGTGGGTAGTCGTCTCTGGGGTATCGCCGTCCAATATCGTCAAGATTGTCCATCGAACGGGAACGTACGTGGTTCTCCATGTAACCTCTTTGCTGCGGGTAATCATCACGGCGGCGGCCTTGCTGGGAAACGCTGCTGATGGTGCTCATAGCTTCATCATGGTCATACACTGTGGGGAGATGCGGGGGCTGGGAACGACCTCCACGGTTTCGAGGCTCAGATCCACTACTGTCGTGCAAGGAACTGACTTCAGTCATGTTGTCCACTAAGACAGGAAAATTGAAAAAGAAATGCAGGTCAGACGAAATAAAATTAAGTTTAGTAGAAGGATCAGAAAAGTAACAACATGAAAGCTCTGCAGCTATCAATGCGCCACAATCAGTAACAATTGTTGTAATTTATGTACCGTAATTGTCGGGCTATAAGCCGCTACTTTTTGCACAAGCTTTGAACCCTGCGGCTTTTAGTCAGGTGCGGCTTTTCTATGGATTGTCCATGATTTTTGTGATATCGTAAGAGGATTTGTTTTGTTTGTTCCGCTGTTGTACGACACTACAACGTAGTGCCGTACGAAGTAGCGCGAAAAACAAACTTCAAAGTACCGCTACGCATTCAGTGGGAGGCGTGGATGATGAGCGGCGATAAACTTGCAAAAAGCAAGTTATGCCCAACTCCACCAGTGGATTCTGACAGCGTGGAAAAGTGTGAAAACATCCACGATCACCAACGGATTTCGAAGGGCTTGACTGCTGCATGATGGAGAGGACACCGCCACGGCCCTTCTGAGGGTGTTCGACTCTGACACTGACAACGAGGATTTCTTTGGTTTTGAAAGTGACAACGAAGGAAAGAAGCTGAGAGTGGATGGAGTGGATGACGAAGCCACCCTGAGCCTGTTCGTATCCGACACTGGAGAAGAGGACTTTGGTGGTTTTAGTGCGCAGGAAGAAGAGAAAGATGGTGGTGAATGACTGACTTTTCTTCTTGTTAAAGCCGTGTCACTGCACCTGAGCCTAAAAGGTAGTCTGAATCTATTTTTCTGGTGTCCTGTAGGTTATTGTTATGTACTACATTTTAACTCTTTTTATGAAGCACAGTACATGTTTTGTACTTGTAATTACCGCTACTTTTTTATATACCTAAAAAGTTATGCAAATATGTACCCATAACTTCTTTTTCAAAATATTAATAAAAGTGTCTCCAAACAGCCATCTCTTTCCTGACAATTCGCTTTGTGCATATTCTCTTACATATGATAAGTCAACATTGAAACACCTGTGGCTTTTAGTCAGGTGCGGCTAATATTCAGGTGCGCTTTGTAGTCCGGGAAATACGGTAATTTTATTTTGTATTACTAAATGCAGTCAGTTTTCACGTACATGACTGCAGAATGTTAAAATTTGTTCCTGTGACATATTGTTTTCTGGGTAACATTTACCAGCTACAAACCACAAGTGCGGAAAGTGGTAATGACAAATGAAACAGGAAACACATGACATCACGTACTGGTTTTTCCCCATCACAACCACAATTCCATATACACACACACATTATACACACACACATTATACACACACACATTATACACACACACATTATACACACACACATTATACACACACACATTATACACTCTCTCTCTCTCTCTCTCTCTCTCTCTCTCTCTCTCTCTCTCTCTCTCTCTCTCTCTCTCTCTCTCTGGCAGACAGAAAATGGTCTTCTTAAATTATATGACCATTATATATTATCAGTCCATTAAAACTATTAGATAGACAGTTATATCAGTTTAGAGCAGAACTATTAGTATTATAATTAATTAAACAAAACAAAGAATATTTTTTATTCATGTATTAATATATATTATCCCTGTTTAATAAAGAAAACCAAAACCAAACCAAAATTCAACCAATCAATGTATATAGGACTTCCAGCCACAGAATCTAATATAGTCTGCCACACAGGAATAATAGGAAGCAATCAGTTACTCACCGCGCTGATAGTTGCCAGGCCTGGATGGATCCATATTGGCAAGCTCCCTCTCCATATAGTAAATGGCACGCGTTGCGTTCCCGTCAGGGTCCACCTGGATTCGAAAACCACTGCGAGCTGAAGTGAGGAGAATAAGTTCAAATATAGTGAATGATTTCAGCTTCTTTCAATATTTGCATACTCTTATCAAAACCATCAAAAAATGCTTTCATATTTGTGACAAGTTGAAATCCCTTTATTGCACAGGCTTGTCATACTTTTTTTTTTTTTACTTTCATATGCGCTGCTTTGTTTATGAGAAGCTGTAAATTATTGACATTTGATTAAGAGTATAATCAACAATGATGTTTTGTTTACAAAACCTTTTTACCAAAAGTGATATTTTTTTCTGGGTGAAGAACCGCCAAAGTCAGCATGATGTTATTAGAGGAACTAAGAGAACTATAAAATCTTTATAATTTTGTCAGTTTTGCAACATTAGAGTAAATATAAGCTTTGACAGCACAATTCTGCTCTCAGCGCATGGAAAACAAAATTATTTGCATTAGATACAATTCACTGCTAATCTATATTTTACATATAACTTTATGTATAAAGACAGACATGCAACAGTGAGACCTGAACGAAGTAGATGAAGCACACTGCCCTAGCAACATGCTAAGCTAATATGCATCAAAAGGTGTTCTACAGACTTAAAGTGGTGTTAAGATATTTGAGCTCTTCCAAAAGTAGATGCATAAAATCCTAAAATATAATAAAATGTTTAATAAATGTATACAACAAAATCAAATTATCAATTTTACATTTAAAAGAGAACTTCAAACACAAATATCCACGGATATAAAAAAATGTGAACAGACTAAGCAGCTGTGTCACACAAATACAGTTTTTTTTAAATGCACACATAATGTGAACATAACCACATCAAAGTAAGATGAGAGTAAGAATGCAAAGAATCAGTTTTAGGTGAGGTGAGGTTTTAAATGTATCTTCTCACTTTAAATTTGGTTTATATTCATAATTTACCACATATAGTGAGGGAATTCCTCAAATCTGAGAGATAATACTGGAAAAAAAAATTACCCCACCCACATAAACAAAAAAAAAACATTCACACCGCAGTGTACTGTTTGGGTGTGGGTGGGTTAATTCCTCCCCCCAACACACACACTCTACTCACTGTTGTCCCCTCGGTCTTGCTCACGTAGCAAAGGTACCTGGGAGCCGTGTCCCACTACATAGAGAACAAAAACAAAGCAAATTTGAACAAGCACTCCACAAAGCTAATCTCTGCACAAAGTAAAAACCTCTGCGTTGTTATTATGAAACTCATATTCAACAGTTAACTGAATTTTCCTACTCATGGCTGCAGAAGTACAACACATTATGAAAACTGCAACAGACAGTAATCATTGTGAACTTTCAGGTTTGTAATTTGTATCACCTACCTGAGCTGGCACCATCATATTCATGACCGTAACCACTCTGAGGCAGCTGGGCTCCAACCCCATTAGGTACAGGAAGTAGAGGCATACCAGGATGCATGTATGGTGGCTGACCATACATACTCTGAGCATAGAGGGTGGAAGCATATTGATCCCCCATACCTTTCTTTACTGCTTTTCCTGCCTCATACACTGCAAGACAATGGAACAGAGTTGGTTTTAAGCATGTTGGTGAAAGATGACATCAACTGCTGGAGACTGTAAAATTATTAGTTTAAAATTTGTGATTTTTCTGTTGAGAGTTAAAACAGAACAGATAATAGTTTACTGTCTTTCCATTAAATAAATAGAGGTATTCTGTTAACCCTTTTAGGAAATACCCCAACTTCCCATTGAGTCAGTGTACTTTAAAAACCATGCCCACTGGAGGGGAAAACAGTCTGGCTTACAAACATGCAAATGAGGGCTGAAACAGTTATGCATTACCTTAAACTTGTTTTTTAAAAAAATCTAAAAGAAAATGACTTTTCCAGTTGAGTATTTCAGTACCTGAAGTCCAGCTTTTAAAATATGTTAACAAGATGATGCTGTTGGCTGAGCATTACACGCACTCTACTAAAAGAGAAGTTGTCAAAATGTTTCCTCTGTTTGATTTATTAGTATAGGCTCCCACCACAAAATAAGCTCACAGTCATTTTCTTTTCTCTCTTTTTAAATTTTTTTTTCTTTTGCTAACAGGCAAAATTGACTAGGAGGCACCCCCAAAACCTTTCCCCTCCAGTTTGTTCAGGGTTGTCTCGATAGGAAACCAAACTAAAGTTAACCGTTTCCTGGCTTGAGGATCATATTTACATTTTAAACATAGTTATGGAAATTTAATTAATAAAGCCTCTGGGGGTCAGGCTTCCTGCAATAAATTTAAAGCTGAATGCTCATCCACTTCCCACCATCTAACTGTGTGTAATGTGTGTGAAACAGACATAGTGAAACCAAGTGACATAAAATCACTGTTACTAAAACAATGTGACCAATACATCAATGAAAAAAATTCAACCCCCCCCCCCCTCAAAAAAAAAGACCCACACACAAATTTGTGCAAGCTGGCATACAAGAACTCTCCTTATAGTGAATTGTACGCTGTACTATTAAAATTATGATCTCAAAATGCACTGATACTCAATGGAACAGACGCATTTGAGTCTAAAATGGGATTAAACAGTAATAATAAATGTGGTTAAAGAAAGTTATGCACAATTTTATTGGCTTTTCCGTTTGATACTTACATGCTCGTGGACAGCAGCAGCGATCTGGGCAGCAGGGGCAACTGACATAACAGCAGCAGGTGTGTGGACAACACTGACACCAGCAAATCCCAATCAAGAGGACCAGCAGAAAGAAGCCAAGGACCACCAAAACAACCAGGAGCCAGTCTGCAAAAGACCAACAATTAAATGCATTTGTTTAAAGATTTAAGATTTGACATTTCTTCTTCAATTGCTGACATAGTCCAGGAGAAAAAAAACACATGAAATTCATATGAACCTGAACTACAGCTACAGTGGTCCACATTTCCTTTATTTGTGTATTACATCAACAACAGAAAACACCTATACTGTATATGTAAATGCATCTTAACAATAATAGTCATAACAGACGAGACAGTTCCACAAGATAAGACTTACATGCCATTTTTGTCATTTACATAAACAACACATGTTGGCAACCATGGTGACTTTTAAAAGGTTTAAACCGGTAAAGCCGGTTCACAAGTCTATGCATGCAGCTCATAAAAAAAACAACAGAGAAAGAAGACACTGTATATTGAAATGAATCAACTAAAATGCAAACTGTGTTAGCAGTGTGAAAAACATAGGGCTGTGTATACAGAAAAGGGAATGAGGGCTGAATGTACTTTGGTAACAGGCTCCCTGTACTCACACTGAAAGTTAGATATACAAACATGTGAATTGAGTCACACTAAAGAAAGAAAGAAACAAAGACAGATAACAGCATAATGGGATATTAAGGATGCCAGTAAACAGCAAGTAAAGCAGAGCAGTGCATAAACCTATATTTCTACCCAGAACATGATGCCTGACCCTTAAATATAGCAGCCTGGTTTCAAATTGAGTCACAGTTTCTTCCTATATGTAAAGGCACTTCTGGAGTGTGACCTTAAAAGGAATTTATCATGTGTCAGATAATTTTTTCTAGCAAAATGAGTCAAGAGTGGTTATGTTTTTAAAAAAGCACACAAGCCAATTGTACTCTTGCAAGGAATTACTCATTACTCCAACCTCATTGTTACGCTCCTGTTCTTTAAGGTTAAACCTGATAGTTCATACGCCTCTACTGTGGGACTGAAACTTGACTGAGCTATATCAAGAGGCTTGTACTACCTTCCATAACCAGTAAGTCAATGCCAGGCAGGAGGTCAGTAGAATTTGACTTTCTCTCTGTGAAAGAAAGATAAAGCCACAATTATTTTTATGTGGTCTGCTTTTGTTACCTGCAACCTGTGACTCTAAAAACCCTTTAAGAACTCAACCTGTGATAAATACCCTCCTATCCTTTCAGCCACTTGAAAAATATGTCACGCCAATGGTTTTGTGCATTTGTTCTCAAATATTCTAATGTGTAAGCACAATATTGTGGATGGGGGGAAAGAAATTGAAAGCAAAACGAAGAAGTGTCTGCATAGAGTATACCTGTACCTGAATGCAGTGGCTATAAATGGAATTAACTTACCCAGTACAAGGAGCTCTGTGTAGTCTTCACTATTTCCTGTAACATCTTGAGAAGAGATGACAGAACAGAAGTAGACACCACTGTCTCCCCATGCAGTCTGTGCGATATTCAGGTCTGCATCTATGGGTAACAATTAATATTAGTACATTTTTTTGTCATTGTTTTTCGATAGTTGTTATTCAAAAACTGTGGGTCTACCAGATGACCCTCAAATACATGAACTATACACTACCAAATTCAAGCTGCCCCTCAAGAGGTATGTGGTTTAATTGACTCAGTCAAATCAATTAAAACATTAGAATTTTTTTTTTTACTTTTTTCAAACCACTGAATATTTTTTAAGACTCCATTGCTCATTTTGAAGGCCCCAGCAAGTCAGGTATCCAGCTATGACTAAGCACTCAACTGGTCGTTGAACAGGACACGTGCAGGGCAGCTGGGTTGGTTCTGCTCGTGGGTTCTTTCTTTTAAAAGGAAGTTTTTCACTTGTTATCAGGTAGTTGCCCAAAGAGGATTGTCTGTTTCTTAGGGTTTTCTTCTGAATAGTGTGGGGTCTTTATCTTGGAGTTAACAGTACCTTGAGTTGCCTTGTGATTTATTGCAATATAAATAAACCTGAACTGAAATGAATTTATATCCATCACCTTACTGTGATTTTTTTCTAGAATTATATCTACTCAGTGCCCATCATACTTCAGCACATTCTAACGTACAGCAAATAAACAGTACAGCTATCAGAATCAGAATCAGAATCAGAATACTTTATTGATCCCTGGGGGAAATTATTTTTTGTTACAGTGCTCCATTTTAAACCAACATTAAGACAAGACAGACAATACGCTAACTAAGAATAGTACAATATATACATATATATACATACATACATACATAAGTCACTTATAAATAAATATTTGGAAAAGAAACATGTGTAGTTGTAGCAGCAAACAGTGTGTTAAGTGGATGCGTTGTACAGGGAGATGGCCACAGGCAGGAATGATTTCCTGTGTCGTTCAGTGGTGCTTTTCGGTAATCTCAGTCTCTCACTGAACGAGCTCCTGTGACTGACCAACATGTCATGGAGTGGGTGGGAGGTGTTATCCAACATTGTCTTTATCTTGGACAGCATCCGCCTCTCCGACACCACCTTGAGGGAGTCCAGCTCCATCCCCACAACATTGCTGGCCTTACGGATCAGTTTATTAAGTCTGTTGGCATCTGCGACCCTCAGCCTGCTCCCCCAGCATGCAACAGCATAGAGGATCGCACTGGCCACAACAGACTCATAGAAAATCCTCAGCATTTTCTGGCAGATGTTGAAGGACCTCAGTCGCCTCAAAAAATAGAGACGACTCTGGCCCTTCCTGTAAAGTGCTGTGGTGTTTTTAGCCCAGTCCAGTTTATTGTCAATGTGTACTCCAAGGTATTTATAGTCCTCCACAATGTCAACACTGACCCCCTGGATTGAAACAGGGGTCAAGTGTTTCCTGGTCTTCCTGAAGTCCACGATCAGTTCCTTGGTCTTTGCCACGTTGAGCTGCAGATGATTCTGCTCACACCACGTGACAAAGGAGTCGACCACAGCCCGGTACTCTGTCTCATCATCCCTGCTGATGCATCCAACCACCGCAGAGTCATCAGAAAACTTCTGAAGATGGCAGGTCTCTGTGCAGTGGCTGAAGTCTGTGGTGTAGAGGGTGAAGAGGAAGGGGGAGAGGACAGTCCCCTGTGGTGCCCCTGTGTTGCTAATCACCTTGTCAGACACACACTGTGGAAGACGTACATATTGTGGTCTTCCTGTCAGGTAATCAACAATCCAGGACACCAGAGAAGCATCCACCTGCATCGCTGCTAACTTATCACCCAGGAGGGTCGGCCTGATGGTGTTGAAAGCACTGGAAAAGTCAAAAAACATGACCCTCACAGTGCTCGCCGGCTGGTCCAGATGGGTGTAGACACGATTGAGCAGGTAGATGATGGCGTCCTCTGTTCCGAGCTACAGACTATTGTTATTAGCAATTCATTACCCTGAGATCTATCAAAAAAAAGAGCAGCAACCTAGCAGCACTGTTCAACTTATAAGAAAATGAGTGAGCCCATCAAAAATACCCATGTTTCAAATCAGTTTGAAAACAAACAAACAAACAATTGGATTGAAATATGCCATCCCTTTTGTATTGAAAATAAGAGTGAAATAGATCTTTGACAAAGTCACCGATTCTGTTCATAATTTTTATGGACAGAATTTCTAGGCAAAGCCAAGTGGTGCAAGGCTTTCAGTTGGGTGGTCTCAGGATCTCATCTCTGCTTTTTGCGGATGATGTGGGTTTGTTGGCCTCCAGCTCGCCTTGGAATGGTTCACAGCGTCAGCATCTCCAAATCTGAGGCCATGGTCCTCAGCCAGAAAATTGGTGGAGTACGACGAGTTTCTGCCCCAAGTGGATGAGTTTAAGTATCTCGGGGTCTTGTTCACAAGTAACGAAAGAAGGGAGTGGGAGCTCGACAAACAGATTGGTGCGGCAGCTGCAGTGATGCGGACACTGTACCAGTCTGTTGTGGTGAAGAGAGAGCTGAGTGTAAAAGTGAAGCTCTCAATTTACCGGTCGATCTATGTCCCTACCCTCACCTATGGTCACGAGCTGTGGGTAGTGACCGGAAGAACAAAATCGCGGCAGAAATGGGCTTCCTCCAAAGGGTGACTGGCCTCTCTCTTAGAGATAGGGTGAGATGTTCAGCCATCCGGGAGAGGCTCAGGGTAGAGACGCTCCTCCTCCATTGAAAGGAGCCAGTTGAGGTGGTTCGGGCATCTGACAAGGATGCCTCCTGGGTGAGGTGTTCCAGGCATGTCCCACCGGGAGGAGACCCAGGACATGCTGGAAAGATTATATCTCTCTGCTGGCCTCGGATTGCCTGGGTGTTGCCCTGGAAAATATGGAGGAGGTGGCTGGGGAGAGGGAGGTCTGGGCTTCTCTGCTTGGGCTGCTGCCCCCACGACCCGGCCCCGGATAAGCGGAAGAAAATGGATGGATGGATGGATGGATGGATGGTCAGACAGATCTTTGAATAGTAAGACTTAAGACTACAGAACAGTAAGATTCTTTACATTAGTATTCTTTCTTTTCTCATACAAATTCAGTACATCTGAACAGAACATATAATAGAAAAAAGTGATATATAGCTCTCATGTAATGTGAAACTAGGGCTGTTCGATATAACGATATACAGTATATCGGATGACGATATAAAAACATCTATGTTTCATTTTACGCTATCATTTGTTTCATGGTGTTGCAAAATAAACGTTTATGTTTCATCGTTGTGATGGTCATTGTAGTGGCTATATTGATTTCTTAAAGTTCTCTCTTTCTCTTATATTTAATTTAAACACACTACGGATGGACAAGCGCCTGTTTTTATGCTTTGTCATTATCAACAACGATGGTAAAACCATTGCGTGTCCGCTTGTTTATTTTCCACATAAACCTTTCGCAATAAAGCTCAAGATCCTGTTGAGACTTTTCAAAATAAACTGAATCACATGAAAGAGTAGAGCTGGGCGATATGAGATTTTTTCATATCACGATATGTTTTTTTCATTTCAGGCGATAACGATATCTATCACGATATAAGCCAAATAACTATATTTGTAAGATTTAAATGTGCCGTTGCTCACAAGTAAAATGTGAAATAATCAGCAGCTTGTTTTTATTTAAATATTTATTTCCCATAATAAGTTCAACAGGGTAGATGTACTTAAGGAACATGAGACTTTTTCAGATAAATAAAGGCAAATATTGCAAACTACACAAAAGGCAGCCGCTAAAGCGTTTAAGTTTCAAAATAGAACAAACGAAACAGACTACTAAATTGTCAATTCCACTTAGAAACAAAATATTAATTCTAAAAATAAATCTTAGTTTGTTTTACAGAAGAACAGACAAAACTGACTAACTTTTGTCAATATCAAATAAACTGAGAACTAAAAGGAAATTCTCAATCTCTCCTTGTTGTATAGCTTAGCTTTTCAAACTGTTTTAACAGTTACTTTAGTCTGACAAAAGCCGAATGACGAATTAGCGCTTCCAGTCAGAGACTGAGGCTACGTCCACATGTACACGGGTATTTTTGAAAACGGAGATTTTCCGTTTTTGTTTTAAAAAATAATCCCGTCCACACATAAAGGCAGAAATGAAGGAAAACGCTGCTATGAACATGCCAAAGCAGCAGGTGGCGCTAGATTCCTAACCGTGCAGAAATGTTGGCCAATCAGAAGTCTAGAAGCCTCGGTGGGAAAAAGTAAACAAAGCTGGGGCATAGAAGCAGAACCGAGTCGTATGTGTGGACGGACAGTAACTGTGTGTATATGTAAGCATTTAAACACTGCAGAGAGTAGAATTAACAGTATTGTAGAAATTCATTTCACCGAAACAATAACGTGGCGCACAGTGTGACGCATGCACCAGTTTATTGTATTTCCAGACTTGCTTTCGGCACAATTTACAGTGCACGCTACTCTGTTTTTTGTCAGACTTGAAATAGCCGAAATACCTTCACCCTAAGGAACTTCTTTGGCTCTTCCGTTCGACAATCTCTCCGGCATTGGAACCATCGTCTGTTTTCTCTTCGGTCACGCTCGGTTGATTTTTCTAGTCGGCACACTCATTTCCTCCATTACGCGCTGGCTCCATTATCCGCTGGCTGCTTCCCAAACAAACACACGTGCGGCTTGGCACTTGTGCTGTACGTAACAAGTCACGCGACGTGACGCTGCGGCTGTGATTGGTTCGGCTCTGCGCTACTTAATTTGGATTGGCTGACCTTTTTTTTTTTTTTTTTTAAAGAGGACAAGAGCGGCGAGGTCTATCGCGATAGCTTAATTTCTCTATCGAGTAAAAGTTATATCGCGATACATATCGTTATCGTTCTATCGCCCAGCTCTATGAAAGAGTATGCAGAGTATTTACGGATGAGAAGGAAAAAAGAGCCGCCAGGTGCTAAAAAATAAACCTTAGACTCAAACGTTAGAACAGGCTTTTCCCCGCAGCACGCCGTGTAATAAATACTCACAAAGAAAACAGCGGCCGTTACAACTTATGTCTAAAAATATATCGTTTCATGCATCGGTTCAAACACTCGACTCCAGGTACACGACGCCCAGCTGGAAACACTTCACGAGTCGAGCTGCCCGCGATTCACAGAATTTACAGAAAATGTAAATTTTTTTGTGCTTTGTATCGTTATGACGTTATGACTTTATGATAGATGTCTTATATTGGGATATGAGATTTTGGTCATATCGCACAGCCCTATGTGAAACTACTGCAGAGACAGGCAATTTATTTTCTCAAGTGGCTAAATGAGAACCTGGTACTGTTGTGAAGGGTCCCCACCATTAAACTGAACTCAATTCTGCTCAGTATTAATTCAATCTTTTTAAATGTTATTGGTATGGCCTTCCACAACAGACCCAATTTCTCTTGTGGCCCCTTAGGAAAATTAAATGTACACCCTCGCAGTGTTTATGCATTTTCCAGATTAATTACAACAGAAGAAGGAATTACTGACAGACATCTTGATTCATGCTCAAGCATCCGGGTAAGGAAATCCCAAAATGTTGAGCTGTTCATCTGCATGTAGCGTTTTAAGTGGAAGAAATATTTCATCACTCATCCAAGTTTTCAAAATGCTATGTCCAGATGAACAGCATCAACATTTTGGTACTGCTTACAGACTAACATGTCGTGCCAAGGCTGTTACATATCTTAATAGGATTTCAGTGTATTAATTAACCAACTTACTGCCGGTTATGCTGATCTTGCGCTCCTGGTACTCAGGGCCAAGGGTAACTGCAGTGCCTTGCTTGGAGGCCACTATTCGCACTGTCCTCTGGTTGTCTGCACACTCAATGGTGGGGTTATAGTTGGGGTTGTTTTGAGACAGAATGTTGTCTGCACTGCTGGGATTGAGTGCAGCCTGAACCGGGTCCCGACAGTAAGACTTATACTTCCACGTTACAATAGGGAGCTGAGTGGCCGTTGTCTGATACTGACAGGTAAGGGTGACAGGCTGGAAGAGAATGACGACATACCTCTTGGTAGGACATTGAACTGATACACCCATAGTGGATTCTAGAAAGAAAACAAAAATATAAGTTAACAATGAAGATTGACACAAATTATGTATTATTACTGTGATTATCATGATCATGTTTCTGACATTTAAAAAGAGGCATCCTACATCCTCTAGGCGTGGCACGAGCCAAACACCATTTCTTCACTTCTAGTATCACCGAGAGTACATGTAATGAGTCACCTCATCTGTAATGAGTCTGGCTGCATGAGCTCCAACCACTATAGCTTTAGATTATGATGGCTACGTTCTGATAACACAGAACTACAATTAAAGGAAGTTTTGAAGTCTATGTCATGTCTTTACAGTTAGTTAAAAAAAACTTTTTTATCCAAGTATGTGATACTTGAAGATGTTGACTAGTTAGTGATAGTGACATTATAATTCAACAGGTTTACTATATACAGCCCTAAGTAAGGCCCGGATGCAGCCCTCAACAAGCCTTAAATCACCACACATGAGTTATAGTGGACGTTTTTGTTTATAAGAATGCAACATCATACAAAAACTACTCGGCTCCCTCCGCTTTCGTCTGCATTTCTACTGCACTTAATTATGAGTTATATTATTTTATCCAAAGGCTATGCGTTGGATACCAATTCGGCTTCCTCTCAATCAACTTCAGTTCCCCAATATTTAAAGTTTACAAATAAAACCAACACCAACCCACAAGGCTTCAAAAAGGTGTATTTAGCAAAACAAAACCCAACAAAAAAACAAAAAAACCCTTTTCTACCCGCATTTTTTTCAACTAAAAGTTTGTTTTTTGTAAATATGTCGAATAATAACAATATCAGTAATAATAATAATAACAAAAGAATTACTTTGAAAATAGGATTCATAAATTGTTTTATTCATATTAATCTATTTTTTATTTTATTTTTGTTTGTCTGCGAGTGCATTATATTAAAAACTACCGAGAAGAAAGAGCCATTTTAATTTTATGTCCCAACAGGTTGTTTTAAAATCCTTGTTGTCAATTTTTTAAAAAACGTTTTCCCCCAAAACACAATCGTTAAAAGACCTCAAGCCATCAGTACAAGAAAAATGCCCACAAAAAGTTATAATTTTGGAAAAGCTAGAGTATTTAGAAAGGCGGTTTGTATGTCAAAGTTTCCCCGGCCCCCACCCTGTTTGACAAATACAGGCCAACTTACCTGTCGCCATTAAAGCGGCGAAGATTATCGTCCAGAACATGTTTAATCTTGCTTCCTCGCGGTCTCGGTAGACTTAAGTATTTTTAATTCGTAAATATACAAACAAAAACGTATTCAGGTACATGTAATTTTCCTCAGACAGATAGTAACACCTCCATTTTGCGTCTTTGTGTGTTGTAGACTTGGGAGGACCCGAACGCCCCGCAGGTGTATGCCGAGACAGGTTGCGAAAAACGGGGACGTGTGTAAGTCGTTGTTTTACAGGTGGTTGCTGATTTTTTCGGTTGACGGCGCATTAATTTCACTACAGAAACCTAGTCGTGAGAAATGGCCAAGTTTTTATTTTAAAAAAAGGCGTTTTCTTCACGTCTTTGCCCATTTTGTGTTCGCTAAAGTGACATTTTAACCAGGAAGTACGCTACGTGTTTTACCCACCGTCTAGATGGTACAGTCTAGAAACTGATAAACGAGTAGAAAGCGCTGTTTGTTAATTTTAAACCCAGGTTGTGGGAGAGAGAGAGCGTGACCTATTTCGTGGGGGCGGGCGCTTTTTATGTGATTTAGAACATTAAAATAAGCTTAATAGTATGAAAAGAAAAACAAACAAAAGTCTAGTTTCTACACTACCATTGTACAGAACTTTAACTTTACTGCTTGGGAATAGACCTATAAATGTCAGAAGTGACTGCTTACAAGTGACTTCATTTTGAAGGCTCAACTCTTATCTTGACTCCATTGTTCTCTGTTTTTCCACACTTCACTTTCACAGTCCAGGTTTTGCTTGTGGATCAGAGAGCTTCTATACATATAATAAGACTAAAGTCTTATCAGACCGTGGGAATCTTAAAATTTGATTTACCAGGTTTAACTGAAAGAGACCATAAATTAAAGATGTTTGTCTTTATAGCGTTCTGACAAAAAATAACATTTCATATAACTGTCCATTAAAAGATTTTTAAGCAAAAATATAGGTATGGGAACAAAATACACTACATCTGCCACAGTGAAATGGCTGCACTGATCCTGCAAGCCCTAGCAGCTGAGGGATTTCCCATGATGTACACTCTTCTGATTATTAACTGAGCACATTATATTCTGTTCCAGTGTCTGTTATGAAAAAGAACATGAACCATATGCAGCTTGATATGCAGGTGTGTTTATAATTAAGGCCAGATATGTAGATGCGTTTCAAACATAATTATTTGCTGTCAAGTAAAGCTGAAGTCTGATAAGCCAAATAAGCATGAAGGTGATTTACAGAAAAATAACCAGTTATTATGGAAATTGTTTTTCTAAAAAAAGGCGACTTCTTTGGGCTTAAGCATATGCAATAAAACACATCCTATTTAGCCATTATGCTGTGCCAATACAGTTAAAAACATTTTAAGACAGAAAGTAAGTATCTATGAGTAAAAAAAAAAAAAAGATGTTTCAGCGTGATGTTTCATGCTGAGGGATAAATGTTGAAGATCCAAAGTCCTGTTTGAAAAAAGAGAGAAGTGTGTTAAGTGAAATTGCATTTAGCCAAAGAAAAAAAAAAAGAACCACAAAACAGTCTGCTTGTAGCCCCTTTCCATTTTTTCAATATTTGAACTAAAAATATTCTCCAATTCAAGATTTACTGGGACTGAGAATTAGTTTTTTTTTTTTCAAATATATCACAAAGCTTTTCTTACAGCACTAAAAGGAAAGAATAAAATCATCTATTTTAAGATTGGGGAACTGTATTAAAATGTATAATGGATTAAATGGTGTGAAATATTTTTTGGGGGGTTGGTCTATAGCTTTAGTCATTCATGAACTTATTCAAGGGACCTGATATAAGGAAGTTGTGTTTCTAAGATGAAAGTTTTGTTAAAATAAAATCACGCTTACTCAGAAGATCACAGTGGTCCAATCGCAATCAGAAAGAGAACTATGAAATAAAAGAAGAAAAAAAAACCCTACAGACTGCTGTTGTTCAGTCAAGGTCAGCAAAACCTGGCTCTTGGCAATTTAACTTCATTGTTAAGTGACTATTGTATATGTCATAGGTTAGTATCATAATTTATACAAACCAGCCATTAAAATCAATCCAATAGGTCCACGGCCAGGATCTGAAAAGACAAATTAAGGTTGAATCAAGAATTTAAGTGTCTTATCTTCTTTTCTTTTCTTTTTTTTAAATGTACCTTCATCTTTAATGTATTAATACATTTACATCAATACAGAAATTTACTATTACACATATGTACAGTACTCAAGTAATTTATTGGATCATCACCCAGTGCAAGGTTTATGCTGCAGCTGCAGTAAATTAACAGTATTGATTATTATTAAATAAATTACATAAATATATTTAATGCTAAAATATAATTATTGTTGTTATCCATTATGTCAAAGAAGTATAACAGGAATGACTATTTGGCCATCGGGTCCCCAGCTGTTCATGTCTGCATTGGAGTGTAAAGTAGGTTTTTTACCCAGTGCACCTCACTGTGCAACAAATATGTCGTCACATCTGCTGGCATGCACCTCTTGATTTTTGTAACCTGACATGAGCTGCTATCATGTTTGCTTTTAACACCAGTTTAATGATATACGCCATACTCCCCAAAGTATCCACTCACCGATCCAAATCATTGAATTCAGGTGTTCCAATCACTTCTGTGGGCACCAGTATAAAAAAGCCACCTAGTCATGCAGACTGAATGACAGGATCCCACCTGTGCAACAAGTCCAGCCATGAAATTTCCTTGCTACTAAATATTACGCAGTCATCTAGTGGTGGTATTATAACAAAGTGGAAGTGAAGGCAGATGAGTGAAAACTTTTGGTGATATAGTCTATCAGTACAGAAGTTTAGAGATTCACAAATTATACAGAGGGAGAGCTTACGACAGTTTGAAAACGTGAGACTCTGTGGGTTGAAAAATACCCTGCAATGTCTTTGCCTATGGTTTTGACTCTTTATATATCAGCTCTGTGTGTTAAGTGACCAATGCAGAGAGTATACTGGCACCTTTTTCTTGGTTTATGCTGTCTCCAGAAAGGCTGATCTATTCAAGCTGTTGCAGCATCTAATTCTGTATAATCTAGGAATTAAGTTTCTGTATTGATATATAATTGAAATTGAAAAATGACACAATAATAGATTCACGTTATCTGCCAAGTTGCGGCAAGGTTAGAAAACTGAGAGGTGAAGGACCAGCAGAAAGGACACCAAAGCGTGACTCAGGTCAGCAGATATAACTTCACTTTGAGAGTGTGTCACTGTATGTGAGGGTATATCGAGCCCTTTATACCCAGAGCGCAGGATTGCTACAAACTGTTTCACCATATAAACATGAAACATATCGTCATATAACTAAGCCTCTGTCATAATTAAGATACTCTTAGTTTGCCAAGTGTATAAAAGCGCGCATTGGTGTATTTCTTTTTCTTCCCCAGCTGTAATATATTGTTACATTCATAAGCTCACCCACTAAAGCAGTTTGTAATTATTAGTTGTATTTTGACAAACATTTAACTTCGGCTTTTATTACAGATTCAACAGATAGAGGTCGCTCGTTTGTGCTCAATGTGTGCACATTTCCGGGGGAAACTCCGTTCGGACAATTTCTGCTGTTTATTCAAAATACCAGTTTTGCTAGAAATAAGTGGGACTCGGCTACAACATGGGTTAACCGCGACTGCGCTCACAGACTTAAGCTTTCCAGTTCGTCAGTGACGCGTTCCTTTCTGATCATCTGCCCTCTGTTTCTGAATAAAAAGTCACTCCTAGAAGCATCGAACACAACTACAAACTACTCCAAACTTTGGAAATCACGGCAGCGTAAATATTTCCCCCTTGAAAGGGAAAATCCTATAAGTACGTGCTTCTTGGACTACTCGAACGCCCCCTTTCAAAAGAAAACTTCGCTGTTCCTTTACTTCCGGTTATGACTTCTTCTACCAATCGTGTTGATGTGGAGGTTTTGTCTAGCGACATCTATCATTCTATTAAAGAAATACTGCAACGAGCGCACTCGCTGTGCACTCGCTGTGCCAAAAAGGGATTTCTGATATTTGCCCAAATGATTGCCGGTATTTAAATAGTTGTATGCATGTATGTATGGCTTATGTAGCGATTAACAAATGGTGGCAGGACAGATTACAAGTTTTACAGCCTCACTATTATTGGGGTAGGGTTAGGGTTAGGGTTGTGCAGTGCTGCCCTCTTACATTCACTGTCTGGATCGGTAGCGCTGCTGCTCTCCGACTTGATGGGACGTGGGGCCCGGGCTCTCAGGGAGGAACAGCGGGGATGTCAGACGGTGGGTTTATGTGGTTGGCTCAAAGTTCGAGGATCCAAGCGGTGGGATAATGGCAACCCAATAAAAAAATCTGTTAATCGCGCTGACAGGCTTGTAAACGCGCGCACCGGGTGGCCACTTCCTGAAATGCGAGTGAGTGCGCGCCTTTTCTTTTTGAAGTTTGCGATTATGGGATTGGTGCGATCTCGGGGTACTTAACGTGGGCTTAATTCTTCTCTCGCCCTCTCTCTCACTTTTAAATATATTTGTATAACAAAAATATTAATCATCACAAAAAGGCGGATCGCCAAAAAACGGCGTTACATTTTTCAGTAGCAAAACTGACCTTTAAGAACTGCGCAGTTGTGAATTTGTCGGATGTTGTTGACTCGCAAATCTACGATTTGAGACCAGGAGGAGACAAACCCAGTCTCAGTGAACTACGACAGCACGGAAAAATCGGAGGGTTGCGTCACCAAGAATTTTAAATCTGCAGTTCAGTAATCAAATATGAGGATCCATCGGCTTTGGCAGACCCACTGGGGATAAATACATTATGTGAAATGATATTAATACGCAATATAATGTGCTAAATCATACAAAATTATAAGGCTTTACCACTAGGAATGAGCCCACATCCGCTAATACTGATTTAACATGCCGTTATCTACTTTAACTCCTACTCTAACATCCCAACCTGTAGTGGATACCGCCCCTAGTTTCAGTTCCATCACAATATTGTAATGTTGTCAGTTGTTGTGCTATCCAGCTCCAGCTCATAAAGGGTTATCTAAAACTTTTTTTTTCTCTATGTGAAAATAAAGTACATACTGTAATGGGAAGTCCCTCTGCTGGGCATCGGGTCAGAAGTCTTATACTGCATGCCTAAAGAGGAAGAAATACATTTAAGTAGCATAATTCTGTATGAATAACTAATTACATTTAAATAATTCATATATTGTGATTAGAAATAGAACGACTCGTTACTGTGAATTCATGATGGCACAGATGGCACATATATGCCTTTTAACCAGTTTGATACACAGCACAGTAGAAATTCAATAGCAATAAAATCTACAGCCTCCAAAATAATATTTCGCATGTACAGAGTTTATCCAGACTGCTTTAGACTGTACCGATTTAAACAGGTGCATTTAATGTAAGTCTGTGCCATATCATATTGACCATAATGCTCTCCCCCCCAATATTGTCCTCCCACAAAGAGACAAGTCCGGGCATGTCTGAGAGATGAGTTAGAGCTGGGCGTCCGACTTCGAAGATGAGTTACACAGAAAAGGGACAGTAGACAGCAGAGCACAGTTCCCAGCAAAGTATGCAAGAAAATAGGAGGAGGAACTTGCAGCTGGTGATGTGCGACCCAACTAAACAAAGAGTATTCACCAGTTGCGGTACTTCTGATAATAGAGGCAAATGGTGGATTTAAACAACCAATTAAAATGTTCTATCTAAGATGCAACACCCCAGGTAGAAAATATTTTTTCATCTTTATTATGTGCCTATATTGGTTCAGACTCCTGCAGAGTCACATGGTTATTTAGTTTATTCTGAATTTAGTGTTATTTTATACTTAAAAATTCCAGGGAAACAACACCCACACTCCTCATTTTAAAAGAAGGTTCGAACATTCATTTTCTTACATTTATAAATGCTGCTGTCTTCAAGCTAGATGCATAATATATATTTTTCTATATCGACAGAAATACTGTTATCATAGTTTTTTCTTGAAATATGTGGTATCCTTTTGAGGCTTTTTCGCCCAACCCTTATTTAATACTGCTTGCTGAGTTTAAACCAGCGGAACATGCAGCACCCTAACGACAGTGACAACAGTGAATAGCGCTATTGTGTTGATCGTCGTCTCCCATTCTGATTTTTTTAAACCTTATCTACACAGTTGTCTTAACAGTTCACAGTGAATTTATAATGTTTTTATATTGTATTAGATGTATGTTATTTAAATATTTTTAAACATGCACATTCTATTTAAATTTTATTTTGAAACTTGACGTCCAGGTATATTTTAACCAGCATTTCAACAAAGCCAGCGCAGAATGGCACCTTAATGGCCTACATACATGTTTTATGGATGTCTTGAATGAGTGATTCCTTTGCTTCTGGTTGGATTTCATTAGTGTCGTTTGAGCAGGTAATGAAGACAAAATCGGACTGGCATACTGTGCAGGTTTTAGGAGTCTTAGGCACAGGCGGTGGTATTTGAGAGCATTCTGAGAAAGCTTTCTTTCCATAGTTCAGGATATCGTCATTTTCGTCATATATTGTGTTGAGGCTGGAGCACTTGTCCCGATCCTTGCAGACCCAACAGTTTAGCCCATCTGCATTTAGAGAAATGGAAAATATAAATATAAACATGATTTCAGGTGTAAATGCATGCAAGTTAAAATTACATATTCTGATGGGACCTAGAATAATTCTTAGTATTGCATTTTATAACATTGTTGTAAGTCACCCCGCATTACACACCCTAAAAAGTAAGGCATACCCACAATGTAAAATGGAAAAATATTTGTTTTTCTGGTAATTACCATACAATTACAGTGTACCTAAAAATAAATTATAGTGTAATTAAATTACTTTCACAGTAACTTGAAAATATAATGTATATTCACTTTCTGGTACAATAAAATTGCAAATAAAGGGGCTCATTTAAAGTCAGATTTAATTACAGGGCAATTACGTCCTCAGTTGGGGTGTTGTATTACAAAGTGTTACCAATTTTTGAATAAAAACTTACTACAGCTTAGCTTACTCGTGTTTTTAACACAGTAGATGTGCTGCAGGCTAAGTATATAAATAAACTGTCTGATCAAAAATATAAAAATATAAGTAATAGTTAAAAAAAACTGCACATGTATATAAACTAGATATAAATAAATCTTTAAATACATATGAAGTACAACATACCATTAGATCCATTACAGGCAGGAAAGTTTATGATTAGAACTGCCACCACACAGAGATTGTAAACTGGAAAGAAAAAGTACGGGGCAGACTTACTCATGGAAAAAGTCACTATGAATTACTCCACGTGAGAATTTAAATAAAATTATACTCTTATTTAGGTACAGCAGTTATACTGATTGCATCATATAAGACTTTCCAGTATTTTGTCTAATCATGCATGTAAATGTAACATTAAAGAAACATGCCTCAGCAGAACTGCAATAAAATACAACAACAACTTTAACTATGTCCTCAGTGTTAAACATGCTAGATTTTTTGGCATTTAATATATCAATCTTTATGATTTAAAATGTAATATTTGCAATAAATGTATGCATGGCAGTTTTTAACAGATGCATATTGGAAATTTAATTACCTTTCCATTTTTTCCCAACAGCTCTTTTCTTGTAGCGGTTTTGGGCCGTCACTTCTTCCACTGGTGCAGCGCTTCCTGGGTTTTCTTTGGCGTCTGTGTTGGCATCCATGATGTTACCCTTATTTCCTACATCTTCCATGAGTGCCTCTGTAATGGCTGATGTTCCGGGTAAAGGCTTGAATACTTCCTCTCCCTTGCTATTATCGTCACGATCTGTGTATGTCTGGCAATTGAAGTTATTTGGCGGCCCACTTTGCATCCCAGCCAAACTGGACTTGATTAAGAATCCCTCTGTCATAGGTCTTGACTCAGGCGGGTATGGGTGTGGCTTGCTTTGTGCCATCATGGGGAACTGCTTCATGTGAAGAATGGGCCTCACACAACTCCCTGTGTCAGTTACAGGCAGGGCAATTTCTTCATACTTGTAACAGAACTTGTGCACCATGTCAGAAGAAAGACCTGCATCACTGTAATATAGAGGGGAAAAAATATTGTTTTTTGCTCCCATTTTTACAAGAAGTGTAAAAAACATATTTTATTAAAGAACTGTAAAAACCATGACAAAAGCATACCCGCTCTCCTGAGTGTGTAGATTATCACCATCTTTAAGTGAAAACATAACACAGTTAGTCTACTGAAAATCATTTTCATTTGCAAAACAGTTCATTTTACAGTCCTTAGATGTTTAACTACCAAAATACAAGCATATTTTTGTTTTTCCTTTTTAAGGAAATTCTTTTAATGAGTCAGCATAATGTGCAGCACTTAGGTAATATGGTAAAATAGGAACACTGCACATTGTTTTCCTGGGTTGCCATTGCAGTACATTAGCAGCACATGTTGTTCGTACTTTGTAATTTCTTACAAAATAACTTCAGCTGCAAAAAGTTAACAAAACAAATTTCGGTGCCGTAAAAATGAATAAAAGTTGTGATCTGAGTAAAAGTTGCGATTCCATTTCATTCCAAGCGAGGGCCTGGAATGAAATGCTACTACAGCCATTTTGCTGGTCTAGAATGAATGAAGAGCCTCAAAAATGAGCACACTAAGAGGAAAAACAACTGCCTTGCCGCCATTTTAAAAATATTGAATAATGCCGTGTCAATAAACAAACTAACCTCGTGGTTGAAAGTGGGGCAAATAATCCGACGGATAGACCATTTTCTCACGATGAGCAATAGTTCCACAGATAACCCCGTACTGGTTTTGTCCTCAAAGTGAGAGCAGGAGGAAATGAAAGAGCATATGACAGCTGGTGTACGTCATAATAAATATATTTTTTGCCACTAGATGGTGGTATTCTACTGAGGTTGATTGCATAGTGAACCTTTACTGAACCATGTAATAATAATAATGATATTATTTACCGCTTTGAAAAACGTAGTTAAAAAGTGCTTTACAGAACACAAAAGAAAATATAACTGTAAAGAAATATATATATTATATTTTTAATAAGTCTGTAATTCTCCGAAGTCCATTAAAATGGATAGGACATAGTGTAAGGAACAGCAATGGCACAGCATGTCCCAAAGCCACAACACAATGTTACAACTAATTAAACAAAACCTTAAAGGACGTCTGGTCTTCGCTTTTTTAATGCAACCAAGCGGCCATCCTTGGAATTCTTTACACTGCAGCCGTCAGCATGTGGACTATGGGCTCATTGCTAGAGAACTGCTGTATACGAGTAGATAGCCCATCTCCTTGTTTCGCAATGGCTTTTAGTTTTGTTTGTCTTTTTTTTTTTTTTTTTTGGGGGGGGGTTGCCAGATTTCTCTGCCAGTCAGTTTGTATTTAGACGATGGCTTAAAGAAATCCTAAGCAACAGCATTTGATTCAGTCATATACCTGCTTCTAATTGTGAAGCCTGAGCAAGCAGACATTTGGTTTAGTTTAGTATTCTATATCTCACGCGTTTTAATGGATTTCCTCATTGTTAGCTATTTTATTGTATTCTGTAAAGCCCTTTGTACTTAATTCTCAAAATTATTTTCTTCTTCTTCTTCTCTTTTTCTTCCCACCCCACCCTGATCTAATTTTAGTCATTGCTTTCAGTTTTGGTTAGTTTCATTTTTCTTCTTGTTTCTGTGAAGGAATTCCTGCTAGGTATCGTAAACCAAAAGCAAAAGTGGTGGCAGATAAATTGAAAATATCTATATTAGTGTTGGTACATAACAACAGTGCCAAGACACAATGTGCTAGTGCTGGTATAGACTTACATTAAAATAGATGAGTAAATAACAGCATGAGAGACCAGTTTATAATTTGATAATGCAACCAAAAACAATGCTGTTTTTTTTTTTTTTGTTTTTTTTTTCTTATTCATAAGGAGTCGCTACAGGAACTCAGTCTGCATGTACAAGATGTCCTTACTGATGCAGCCGTCTCCCTTTTCCCCTGGTATGAAGCAGGGGATTTTTTAAATGTTAGGTACTTGTGTTAATCATTACACTATGGGGCCACTAGTTTAAAGCTGTACAATTTACCCAAACAAAAACCAATGAACTAAAAAGTTTCATTTCTTGTTTGTCGCCTTCCTTTTTGCTCACTTTTTCCTCTGTATCACAAATTATAAATTCAACCAAAAGGTAAAGTGCCAGGAAACATCATGCAAAAAGTGTTCCCTTGAGATTTATTTGAGATCACTTTGAAACAGAACAAAGGAAATACTGACAAGAAATGCTGTAAACCTTCTAGTGTGGTACCTAAAACTACAGCCAATGCTACAACCAGGATTTTAAACGTATAGAGGTGAAATAGAAATCCATATACACTTAAATAATTATTCAGTGAAAATGTTGCACTGCTGCAGTGGCTAACACTATTGTCTAACAGCAAGACGTTCCTGGTTTGAATTTGCAAGCCAACTGAGGCCTTTGGGTATGGTTTGCTGTGGCTCTCTCAGGGTACTGTAGCTTCCTCCTACAGTTCAAAGAAATTCATAACAGATTAGCTGGTAATGCTAAAATGCCAATTGTTGTGAGTGTGACTAGTTGCCTGTCTCTGTGTTAGCCCAATGATAGATTGAGGGTAATGCATATGGATCTGTCCTGGACGTGTGTCTCTTCTCTTCCAATTACCCTGAATTGGACAAGTGGTTAACCCGAGTAAGTTTCAAATTATATAATAATCTTTTATTCAGTTAATATTGTTTTTCTCCTTCACAAAGGCAATGAATTAAAATCTGCTGGGGAAAGTCCAACTAGTTCTTACACATTTTTTGTTAGTCTGAAAACAATTACGGTATGAATCGACTGTAGTATAGAAATCGTGCTTTATAAACAACAAATTGTTTTGGGGGGTTTTGTGATACACCTTGCTAAAACCCAAAGTTTCAGCAACCCACCACATATTTATGATTTTTAGTAGTAGCAGCAAGGAAATCCTCAGTGCATTATATACAGTCATTCCAGTATAATCAGTGTGTTTTACTTTTATAATGACAGCACACACTACAGTAGAGAGCTTGTACATAATTTGCTTGTACACAATTTTGTATCGGTGTGATGTATGAATATATACTAGAGGGATTTCTGCTACCACATATTTATGATTTGACTCAATGGGAGTTGTATACCTGGTAGGTCACCACATTAGTTAGAAAACCACAACATTTTCATAGATTTACATTTGAAAGAAATAAGCTAAATAAGTCTCAAGTTGACTCCATGAATGTGAAATGAAGAAAAATAATAAATGAACTGCAACCATGTTTTGAATCTCCTACAACATTTTTACAAAACTCTCTAAGCTGCAACTTATTGAAATATGACATCAAGAGAACAGTAGGATGAAGTTTGAAGCCACAAACGTTGAAATCTTTACAATAGACTGCTTCTACATACAGTCATATATACAGTATATACATGTCCATATGTATACATGTATACATGCATATGGTAACCATAGCATTCAATTATAGAATCATTTTTACAAAGAAATGTTTCAAATGAATGAGAAATTGGTTGTAATAGAATTGAATATATGGAGAACAAATTAAATGGCTTTATTATTACTGTTACACAGGCCAACTAGATACAAGATCAAGAACAGAGCCTTTAAAATTCAGAGTAAGTGTGAACACAACACGAGTTTTCTTATGTTGTTATGTTTTTTCTGGAATTTGTATTTAGAGCTTGTTTCTGTGCTGCCATGATTAGTGTCTCTGTGCTGTTTTTCAGTCCAGCTTTGTCCAGGCACTGGTAGGATTTCTGGATGTCAGCCATTTCCTCTATCCGCCAGTGGTACTTACCGTGCAGGGGCCTGTCCTTCCATGATGGCTCCTCCAGTTGCTACTCTACTTTACTGGGTTTCTGTTGCCTGAGGTATTCACTGAGTACGTGGATGAGAAAACTCTTCATTGTCTCATCCTGGACAGTGGTTCTGAAACTCACCAGTACCAGGCATCATTCCTTACACTTAGCGTACTCAGTCTCAGGGTGCTGGACTGGGGTGATACCTTCCGTGCTTAGTCAGGAGCGCCTTTGTCTTGATGTTACTGGCTTCCATCTCCTTCTTTAGGCAGCTTATTATCCCAGCAGGGTACCTGATCACAGGCAGGCCGTAGCTGTTGATAGCCCAGATCTTGTTCCTAATATTCACCTGACTCCTTAGGACTTGCCTGACCCTCTGCAGGTACTTGGGGGTTGCAGCTTTCTTAGTGGCCTCTTCATGGTTCCTATTCACCTGGGTTCAGGCCTATGCAGAACAGCAGCGGGGAAAGCTCATCTCCTTGGTAGATCCCGCACTTGATGGTGTCTTGTGCAATAGGCTTGAAGTTGGCCTCCAGTGTTGTTTGCCACATCCCCATCAAATTCTTGATGAAGGCTCTCAGGGTCCTGTTGATCTTGTATTGTTCTAGGCATTCCACGACTCAAATGTGGGTCGTTGAGTTATAGGCCTTCTCAATCTGGGCAGTGCACAGGTTGGTCAGTCTGGTCTTGCAGTCTTGGATGACTGTTCTGTCTACCAGGAACTGGTGTTTTGCTCCTCTGGTATTCCTGCCAACTCCTTTCTGTGCCCCACTCGTGCATTGAGTCATGTGCCTATTCATCTTAGCGCTGTGATGCCTGATAGGGGCTTCCATGTGGTACTGGGGCAGGTTATAGGCCGGTAGTTGGATGGAACCAGTCCCTTCTGGGGGTTCTTGGGGATCAGGACTGAGCAGTTAGCCATTCTGGGTGTGTTTCATCCATTAGCAGCCTGCTCATTTGTGCTACCAGATGTTCATGGAGTGCAGTCAGTTTCCTCAGCCAGTAAACGTTAATTATGTTGAGGCTTGTGGTGTCCAACTTGTCCATAATGGAGAACCTTTTTTGCCACTGTGATGGTTGCTTGACCCTGTTCAGGGAGGTCTGTCTGATCTGCTCTTAGATTCACTAGCCACTGTTATGTGTTGCAGCCTTCTCCCATATGCTCTTCCAGTATTGCGCCATCTCCAGACACAAAAGTTTGGACACACCTTCTTATTTAATGTTTTTCTTAATTTTTAATACTTTCTACTAGAGATGGCATGATAACAATACCACTTTTTTATGTCCGATACCGATACCAATATCATACATTTGGATGTCTGCCAATACCGATATGAATCAGATATAGTGTATTTTATAATCAATAAAACTGTCTTTTTTAATATCTTGCTGCATTTTGTAAAAGTTCTGTCATGGCAAATGGGATCAGCCGTGAGGAGAAAATAAATGAGGCAGGCACTTGCTGAGATATGAAGGTGGTTTATTGTAAAATAAAGCACAAGGTGAAAAATGGCAAAATGGAACTAAAGATAATCTAAGCTGGGAAAAACTAAACTACTAAACAGCAAATATGAACACGAACATGAAGGAGGGTGAGCAGAGGCATATCAAGGTGGATGGCAGGGAAAACACACGGAGAATACACAGTTAAATCACAGATAGACCAGCGACTAGTACACAAGTAGAAACAACTTAAATACACACAGGAGAACACAGGGAGATTACACACAGGTGGGGAACACAGAAGGAAGTAACTGACAAGACGAGACAGGAGAAGCAAAACTGAATACACTCACATGACACACAGAACTTCACTGTAAAACAGGAAACAAGAAACAGAAAAAAGGACGCTGACTTGACGCTGAACTAAACCGTGAAACAGAATAAACTGAAACATAGAAAATAATATTCAAAACAGGATAACAAAAGAATCAGAACATAAATCATAATACAGAAGAATACCAAAACATAAGAAACTGAAAATGCTGGGTCAAAATGAACCACAACCCTGACAAGTTCATACTCAAATTTTAAAAAACAAAACACTACTGCTATTCTGGTATACCTGTATGCTAAAAATACACTGCACACAAAATATTTCTTAGTTCAGCAATACTGATCAATCTAATAAACCTTTTTCCCAAAGGAAAAAATACGTTAAATACCAGCTTACCTCTGGCGTCCAGGGCATAATTGGCCGCTTTTGACGACTTTTGATTTTACCTCTATGTTTCACCTTCAAAAACTGTTTATGTTGCCTTATTTGGTATCATTATTTTCAGCACAACCTCTAAGATCTGAAATGTGAGTTATTTTTTCGTTTTGACATACTATATTTACACAATTAAAATGTAAATTTAGACAAAAAATTAAAATCCAAGTAGAAAACAAGTTATATTTTTTACAGTAAAAACCACAAACATGTTTAACGAAGCATTTTCATAACTTATAATGCAAATAGAAATTGTACATTTCTAAAAAGTTATGCACACGTTTTACAAACAACAAAGTTATATGGAACTATTTACCTAAAAATGCAGCCAAGGCCTCAGGCGTTTTTTATATAACCATTTAAATCTATTTACAGAACAATCAGGTGTTCTGCATCAAATAAGAAGGCACAAAAATTACTTGTGCCACTCCAAAAAAAATGTTTCTGTCCACTATAAGACAGAGGAGAACACCACTGGCCTAAACCCTGCAGGTCTGTCAACAGGAGCTGTATCAGTCCAGTTTTACATGTGGAGACAGCATTTACACTGGAATTTGCCTTTAGTGGCTTTTTTTGGAGCAAATGTGACATCCATCAGTGTAACTGACACACAAAACAAAACAATGACTACACCACACACTAACTATAGCCTCGCTAAATGTCACTAATGTCTCACAAAAACTCGCTTTCACTCTTTCTTTCTTTCTTTCTTTCTTTCGCTCGCCCGCTTTCTCTCGTGGCATCTGCTGCAGTCGTTTTGCTGCTTGTTTCCTCTTTGTGGTGCAAAGTGGGCGATAAACAAACAAGAGAGACGGACTTGTGACAGAAAAGCCGATCATTGATCATTTTCATGACTGAAGTAGCAGCAGGAGAGAGAGGGGCAGTCGCTCCATATATCGGTTGTTAAGCTTAACATGGAAATGCTTTACAAACATTCAGAGATGAACTTACACACTTGCTTTACTTCTCAGGGATAGCTATCTCGGAGATGAAATGCCGGTTTGGAAGCACGTAGTGAGGCTCCAAGTGCTCAACCAGACCGCTGACAGGCCTCGCACGCCACAGCCGCTCTATCACGTGACGCATACTGCTCCGACGTGCTACGGTTATGAGCTGAGTTACGCCATGTCACAAGTTTTGTGAGGTGCTTTCCTGATATTTAATTAATCGGATTACATGTTTTATTTCTCTCCAATATCCGATCCAGTAATTTAGGTCATTATCGGACCGATACCGATACGTAAAATCTGATCGGTCCATCCCTACTTTCTACATTGTAGATGCATACTAAAGATATCAAATACATGAAGCAAGGTATATGGAATTATAGAAAAGATATCCATCCATCCACCCATGCATACATTTTCTTGTGCTTATCCTTGTTATGATTGGGAGGGGGGGAGCAAAGGGTGGCTATTTTGAAGAATAAAACATGTTTTGAATAATTTCACACTTTTTTGTTTACTAGATAATTCCATATGTGTTCATTCATAGTTTTGTTAAAAACCTAATAATAGTTCAAAACCTGCTAACACTAGCAGCACGCTAGTGTTAGCAGGTTTTGAACTATTATTAGGTTTGTGCTCACATTGGCTCAGCTTGTATTCAGCAGTTTCAGTCTAAAGCACAAGACAGCTAAGGCTGATGGTAATTTAAGTATTTTGGTAGGTAATTGTACCAGTTAATAATTTGCATAAGGACATATCTGCATATTTCATCATCCCTTCTTTTTCATTTTAGCATTTTTAGATGTACACATGTATATGTATACATATAACCACTAGCACTGCTGTTATATTTATTATGGATGTTGCTGCTATTTTGTTTTCCACACGGTCATCCAAATGTTAAAACTCTGGTCTCTGGCTCTGTCTTCTCTCCCACTGTGACAGCACGTGTCCTGTTTATCAAACATTATCTCATACCTGCATTTGTATTTACGCTGTGCTTCTTTCTTCACTTGTAATCAGTGTGCTACAGGATAGGACTGGCTTTGCTTGGGGCCATGAATCAGATTCAGGAAGGTGTGGAACAGGTTTAAAGAGCGCTAACAATGTCAACTCGTGTTCAGACCTGACAGAGCTGCGTTCCCTCAACAGCATAAAGGTAGGAAGAGAATCTTTTGTGGTTTAGAGATTCAAGAACAAAAAGGATCAAAGATTATATATATTTTAGCTTTGAGTGGTTTTAAATTTAAGTACAATTAAGTAATTGAAAAGTGTGTTTACTGAGGAGCTTCTCATGTATGTTTGTAAAACCTTGAGTTTGTCTTAAGTGAAAATGATTTGCTATACTGTGATCAACTTTAGTCATTCAGATACTGTGACTGCAAATGTTCTTGATAATAAGGACTATTTTGAAAGTTAAAAACTGCCTTCTTCAATCTCTTCTCTTGTGAACTGACCAGTCTGTCAACATTTCCTTCCTGTTTTGACTACACAGCTCTCTGGCTCTTTGAAAACCTGTTGTACAATCCTGACATCAAGTCACTCTGCTGTCAGAATATTTGAAATGATAAGTGTGGTTGTAGATCAGGGTCCTGGTGTCTTTATTTATACAACAGCTTCAGTTACAGCTGAGTTACTGAGAACAGCCTGCCTGAACTTTACTATTCAGGTGCTCACTGCCCAAACTGTATTTCTAATTAAATAAATTAATTATAATTTGAGGGAAACAAAATGGTAGTTCAGTGAGATTATCAGTCTGTGGAACATTTTCATTCTTCTTAAGAATTTTCCGGTAAGGAATCTACGGTATTACTCAAGAGTGGTAACACCCTTCCAGGGAATATTTTTTTTAACTGAAGTTTATGTCTGACAGTCTGCTGACACCAATGAATGTTAGGTTGAAAGGTGAGTGAGAGCAGTTTTTCAGTCTCAGTTTGTTTGTGATTACGTTCGATATCTCAGTGAGATCTGAAAAAGGTAAACACATTTTATTTGCTGTAAGTTAAAATGGCAATACGCTAAACATAAATATAGTCAGTGCTGTTTAAATCACCTGAGTTTATTTGCTTTTTACTTTTACTTTTATTTATCAAGCAATATCTCTAGATAGTTACTGCTATGTTAGCTACTAATATTTTATATTTAATCTTGATCATTAAGGATACTCACAATGTGGTTTAAGAAGCATATTAGTCATATTTAATAATAATAAGTCATATTTTATAGTCCGTAAAATAACCTTGCTGTCCTGAATTGCTTTACTGAATTGTTGTTTTATCAATGTCTAAAGTGGAAAGTACCAAAAGTCACAGCAGCTAGTACCAGAAACAGAACAGAGTGATTTCAAGATCATCAAAAGCACTGAAAGTACAGGGTATTACTCACAATCGTTCTCCACCAAACATAAATATTTACTGGCTTGTATTACAATTACTCACGCTTATATCATATAACTAAACATTGTAGTTGTCACCAAACCTGAATATACTACAGAATATACTCCTTGTTATCAATTCTATCATTCTTTGTTTTGTGAGTAAAATGACCCTCCCCTCACTCTAAGGCTCTCACAGCATCTCCTAGATGGCGTACTCCACCAGCACCCTTGCAGAGGGCTGTTTTGGGAAAGTGTACAAGGAGAAGTACAATGATACCTGGGCTGCTATTAAGAAAGTTCCTCAGCATCTCATCAGCTGGAAGGATCTGGAGAGAGAGAGTGAAGTGTACAAGTAAGCATATTAAGCATGGTTAATATTTTCAAAGACAAAAACAGCAATATGACATTAATACAAAACATAGTTGTATAAAATATATGGCAGACGGTGTAATTGCTGACAGACATTTAATACTTTTTTGCTTGCTTTTAACTAAATGTAACTGTTTATATGCTTTTTATTGCTAAACAGAGAAAACTATCATTCTGCATGTTTTTTATAGGCAAAAAGCATGTTCTTTATGCATTAACAGTCACATCACTGATAATTGATTTAAAGCTGGTTACATGGGTCCCCAGTAAGTATTTATTTCATACCTTCTATTTACTACATATTAGCATTGTCATTTCTGGGCTATAACCAAAGAGCATCATGGTGTAAACCATAATATTAAAAAATGTGAATTGCACAAACACCTACTGGCCAAGACTTGTCGGCCTTCTACACTCAGAACTGCCTTAAACTCTCTCCACAAAGTGCTTGAAACATTGCTCAGAGATTTTTGTTGATATTGGCATCATAGCTTCACACATGTGCTGCAGATCTGTACTTGTATGATCAAAATCTCCTTTTGCACCACAACCTTGAGGTGCTTTGAGAAAAAAACTGAGTTCTGGTCATTCTTTAGATCATTATAAAGGTATCTATCTATCTATCTATCTATCTATCTATCTATCTATCTATCTATCTATCTATCTATCTATCTATCTATCTATCTATCTATCTATCTATTAGGGGTGCAACGATACACAAAATTCACGGTTCGGTTCGATACTTTGGTGTCACGGTTCGATATTTTTTCGATACAAAAAAAATGTTGATGCCTTTTTAATTTGTCATTTATTAAAATTATAAATATATATTTTAACTCAAAAGTACAGTTTTTAAATTTAACCCTAACCCTTGTGCGTGTTTTTTATTTTGACAGCGAATGCGCACCTGCGGACCACTTATGTGCAGCCCTGGTTATTTAGCTCGTCATATTGCAGCCACAGAAATTCTTTTGTCCATGAAACCATAAAGCTGCACTTTCTTTTTGCCTTATAGTCTGATTTGTCATAACTTTTCCGTTTTGTGGTAAGCTTTTCTTTGGCTGTCACTTCTTCACCCTGACCTGTCTTATTTGGCTCAGCAGAACTAAAATATATATACTGCTGCTTTTACACACGCACTCACATAAGCTCAGCGATTCTCTGCGCGATCAACCTCTCACATGTTTAAGCTGCGGGAGAGTTCACTTGTCATGTTTGCATAGTAAGCTAACAATTAATAAGATGATGTCAGAGGAATTGGTGCACAAATTATCATCACTCACAGATCAGTGCTGTCGCTCTCTATACACAGTTCGCGCGATTGCAAAGTGAAAGCAAAAAAACAAGCGCAAATTCAAACGCGATTTCAATATGTCACATATTGACAGTTTCTCACCGATGCCAATGACATAATTACCCAGCTACATTTCTGAAAGAATGCAAAAGCATTGACATATATTATTCCTTCCTACAATAGCCCGACGGGCAGGGCAGAGATAGATTTTGGTAGCCCGACTGAAAAAATCGCTAGCCCCGGGACGTCGGGCTAGCGATATTGCGAGCCCTGTATCTGATTGAGGAATCACTCATCTTTGGAAAAGAGAGTTTATTACAGAGAAATGTCTCTTTCCAAAATAAAAGCTATACTATCCGCTTCTTCTGGGCTATATTCTCAGCAGCATATTAAACATATAAGGAGAATCATGTGCTAACAGCTGTCTAAATGACTCGGCTACAGTTAGTAGCATGGTTGCTTGTTTTTTTTCTGCTTCCACTTGTCTTTGCACTAGGATGATGTCGGCGTAAATGTGCAGTCATATTCGTTGTGTTCCCACTAGTGCTTTCAGGTTAATCTCGTTGAAATTACCTTAAAGCCACAACACGGCAAATCTCCGTTAACGAGCTACCGCCGATCGCCCCGTGCATGGGGCTAGACGGCCAACACGTTAACGAGCTAACTGCGCTAACACACTAGCTCCCACCCATGTAATTGAGCATTGCATGGCACATCCAACATACTGTTTTACTTTAGTCCATGACTCGCTTACCTTCAGGGTCATACGTCACATGAAAACCAAAATAATTCCAAACGCCAGATCTGAATGAGGGTGGGGGAGGTCCATGTTGCAAGGAGAGCTTAACTTCTGTCTCGCTAGCTTGCCCTGCGCTCTTCCTTCTGACGATGCTGTCTGTGTTGAGCGCTCAGTGAATCTGCGTTCGACTGCTCCGCCTAGGCTCGACAGTGCAGCCTAGGCGGAGCAGTCGAACGCAGATTCACTGAGCGCTCAACACAGACAGCATCGTCAGAAGGAAAGTTGATAAAATAAATTACAAATTTTGTATTGTTCGATACATATGCGTACCGAACCGAAAGCACTGTATCGAACGGTTCAATATCAATACGAATATCGTTGCACCCCTACTATCTATCTATCTATCTATCTATCTATCTATCTATCTATCTATCTATCTATCTATCTATCTATCTATCTATCTATCTATCTATCTATCTATCTACCTACCTACCTACCTACCTACCTACCTACCTACCTAGGCAGTATTATGAGGTTTGTTCTTGTTACTGTAAAAGGGAGTTTTCCCTTCCCACTCTTGCCAGGTACTTATTCAAAGCAAGCTCATGGTTTGAATTTCTGTTGCCTACCTGCCAGCTTGAACCATTTTCCTTAGGCCTCTGATATCAACAAGGCATTTAAAGAAGGGGTAGATCAGCAGTTTCTGAAACACTGCCATCAACCAACCACCCCATTTTCAAATGTACTTTAATCAACTTTCTTCTCTATTCTGATGCTCTGTTTTATCTTCATCAGGTGGTCTTGACTATGTGTTAATTAACTGCTAGAAAATTAAAGTAATACTATTTAATAAGAGTACAGCATAAAGTCAATTAAACGTCTGGGGTATTGATATGGCCAGTTAAGTAGCAGAGGTTGTTGTTAATCAGTTTCAGCTGCTGTAGTATTAATGACATTAACAACAGCTTTACTAGAGGAGCAACAATGAGATAACACCCAAATCAGGAGTGGTTTTACAGGTGGAAGACACTGACATCTTTTTCCTCTTTAGCATTATTGACCAATTTTTCTTTCACAAGTTTTGCATTTAGCTAGGGTCAGTGTCACTACTGGTAGCATGAGCACTGCCAGAGTCCTACAAAATGATCTTCAGCAGGCCACTGATGTGAATGTCTCTGATTAATCAATCTGATCAATACAACTAGAAAAAGACTTCATGAGAGTGGCCTGAAGGCCTGACTCATCTAGTGGCCTCTGAATCAAAACCTGAATGTTTGCACATAATTCCCTCACCTGATGCTAGATGATCCAGGTGGTTTTGAATGTTTTAGAAAAAGAAAACGCCCAGTTTATTTTGTTTTGATTTTGTCAAAATCTTCTTTTCTCCATGACTTGTTACCACTGATCTGCAGCAAGTCAAAACATCCCAACATAGTGAGGCTTCTGGGCAAAATAATTCTTAAAGATGGAAAATGGATCATTCCACTAGAGTTTGTCTTCGGAGAGGACTTGGAGACCACCATCTTCAAGGCGTCAAAGTCTAAAATATCGGTGAGGTTACTAGAAAAAAGACAAAAGAAATGAAAGTTGAAATTAAGAAAAATTGTTTGCATGGTTTGCAGGTCACCACTGCCCTTTGACTCACTCCTTTGCTTTGCTGTGTGTTTTGTGTAGGGTATAAACCAAGAACAATTGCTGTTGTAATATTACCTATTATCTTCTGTTGTGTAACATTTTATGTATTTTAGCATGCAATTGCCTAATTTATTTCACACTTTAATAAGTAGTTTAAAGATTTCCAACTCAGGTAAGCATGAAAGTCAATGTGACCCTGGTCGTCCTAAAATTGGTCTCATATTTATTTTTACCACACAGATGACTCCAGCTAATAAAGGCACAATCATTGTCGGCATGTGTGAAGGGCTGCTTCATCTACACTCCAGAGACATTGTCCATCAAGATCTCAAGCCTGAAAACATTATGGTGAGTGGAAATTTAGATTTCTTTATCACAATGTTTCTTTTTAACATGCAGATTTGAGCATATGTCGACTCTGAATAAGTCTTATCCCTCTGGTAGGTAAAGAAGTTTTTGTCATTTGTTTGTTTTTTTCTTTTTTATTTGCAATGTCAAAGTCAACTTACGCAAGCTTTGGTTGTCTCAGAGATTAAGTAATGTAGGGCAAAGCACATGCGTCTGTCACAGTGAAACTACGAATGGTTCGTTACGCATATACTTGTCTCAAAACTTTAAAGACATACGTGTGGCTGGTATCATAAAACTGATCATGGCAAAAAAACACCATCCCATATTCTTTGTCGCTTTTCAAAATCACAAGATTACAAAATGCTTTAACAACAAAACAAGCATCTGAAAAGACAGTCAGCTAAAGATCAACAGAACCAGATAAAAAAAATAAAAAAAATCAATAAATAGAAAAGCTAGTAATTCTGTGCAGACTCTTCAGAGAAACTATCTCTGAGCAGAAGCTGGTTGCACATTATCCACCGTATAAAGCTGTATGAGGTGTATTTTTTTTTAGTCAATATTTAATGTTTGCTGAACAATGTTTGTTCTTTAGGTGGAGCATAACACGAACAGAGCAGTAATTATTGATCTGGGACTGGCCAAGTTCTTCAGACGTGGTCTAAACTCTGCAGTGGACATGGGGAACGAGGCTTACTCGGCTCCTGAGGTGCTGCAGAGGGGTAGCCAGAGAGATCAGCGTTCAGACGTCTGGGCCATGGGAAAAATCATAGCTGAGCTCTGTGCCCGGATTCGTCTGTACACACCCAGCGTCTGTCCTGACAAAATCAAAGATGTTTTAAAGGACCAACCATACTGCCCTGCTGTGTGTAGGATGGTGGAGCAGAATCCATCTCTGAGGGCCTCTATGGGCGGGGTCATTAGTGATATTCGAAGAGCTGCAGGAATGGGCATTGTCACCAACACACCCATTCAAAAAGATCATCTTAAACCACCTACACCTCACTTTAATGCCAGAAACCAGTCCCCATCACCTCCGAACAGAGATGCACATCTGCCAATCAGGGACCCATCACCAATCAATCAAGCTGCATCTCCGCTAATCAGGGACTTATCGCCGATAAACCGAGGTGTTTCTCCACTTAACAGGGATCCATCACCGTTAAACAAGTTTGACATACATCAGTCACCTATGAATAAGCCTACAGGGCGGATATTTGAACGTTCTCCTAGACCAGAGATAAAACCTTTGCCTCGGACTGGAGTGCACCTTCCTCCTTCCCCACAGAGGCAAGAGGACAAGAACAAAAATCACGATCTGGTGCCGAAAGGTGGATCAGAACTCGCACAGGACCTCAGGAAAATGAAGTTGTTACACGAAGCTGCCAAGGATCTTCCCTGCAACCTGCCAACGACAGGGAGGGTGGTGGTGCGGCGTTTTGAGGAGAAAAACGGGGAAATGGGTTCATGGGAGCAGACCGAGGTGGTGACTCGTGATGGAAAGATAGTCAAGTTTGATGATGTCAAGTTTAACAGCAAATGAGAGTATCTGGGAGAGTTACAAAATAGTTGTATGTTCACTCAGCTTAAAGAGTAGACTGAGTTTAGGTGCAGTAGACATTGCATGGTATGTAACAGGATATAAATTTTTTTTAAGGAATTGATTAGTTTTGAGTTATTTCCAAATTAAAACTTTCCATTAGCGTATGCTTAGTTCCAAATTTATTTTTAAAAATATCAATTTCAAGTGCAAACCTAGATGTTGTGGATTTTGGTATGCATTATGCTCACTGTAAGCTCTGTGAGTGAGACTTGTAATGAGATTATCTCCAATTGAAAAACTGATAGTTATATATATTTTCTGTTGGCTAAAATGTGCAATGGTGATTACATATGAAATGTGTTTTGATAGTTTTGGTTAAATAAATGACTGTGAGAAATTAAGGGCAGGGAATGTGGGTGTGGTATACAGAATGGGTCTGTGGTGTATTGTCTGCTTAATATGTCTGCTGTTTTTTTAACTAGTGATCTAATCTTTAAGCTGTACTGTGCATCAGAGTCTCCTGTGTCTGATAGTCCTTTTTTTTTAATGACTGTAAAGTAAGACAAATAAATCCAGCAATCTTTATCTTTGAGTTGCTGGAACCAACAAGTGATTTGTTGCTGGGTTGATTTGATGCTATTGTGTGGCAGAAGTTCTTGCTACACTGCTCTTTACACTTCAAAGTGAACAAAGGTGATGTGTTAGTCCACACCCCATTTACAAGAACAAGAAGAACCTGTTTTATTTTTTTTGTAATTACTCTTGCAGTAATAAAGTACATCTTCCAATCTCATGTAGTTGTACACATCAGCATTAAAGTTGCTTTTATTGTTTATATGTGCTCTTAGCAGTCTGTGTGGATTTTTTTTCACGGCCTGAAGGGGAAAGCTCTGAGTTGAGACTGATTTACTGTCACTGGTGGGACCATTTCACATTTGGCTTCCTCCTTGAAACCGTGGCACTGTTTAGATGACCACCTGTAAAGGATCAGTGATTTGAGGTTTCTACATGAATATAAACTTAGGTCAACAACTGCCATTTGGTTTCAGTTGTTTCTACATCTGTTAACACTGCAGTCCATCTTAGCCACATGGATCAAGGAAGTGGGTTGTGTGGTTTCCTTGTAAAGCTGAGCAACTGACAACTTTTATTTATGTAGAATGTCATGTGAATTAGCAATGCTTCGTAAAGAATTACACAAGTGGTATTAAGTCCTGGTTCTGTAAGTCGTGTGTTTTTAAATATGGCATTAAATGCATATTTGTATTGTTGCCTCTTAGCTCCATTTGAGATAATGATGTGGTGCAAGATGTGGGTGAGTTAAACAAAGTTAGGTTTGGTATTATTATCACATTTATTATAATTTTAAGATTTTCTGTTATCTCACTTCAAATGTAATTTTTTTCACAAGCACACCACAGACTGGATTAGTATGGACATGCACTCTGTATCGGTGACTGCTTTTGGCAGCCACATGAGGTTATAGTATGCCCTCTTTTGGATATTTGGATAAGTGCATTTGTCTGTTTTAGTAGTAACCGATGACAGTGAGAGACAGTTTATGATTTTTGACTATAAGGTGATTGTGTCGTACTATTTTCAATTAAAATAATCATTGCATGTCTTAAAGTACATAATACTGCCTATAAAATATTTTCAGATAGAAATGTGATGCAAATACAATCCACTCTAGAGACACGATGTTCGCCTTGTAATCGGAAGGTTGACGGTTCGAGCCCCGGCTTGGACAGTCTCGGTCGTTGTGTCCTTGGGCAAGACACTTCACCTGCCGGTGGTGGTCAGAGGGCCCGGTGGCGCCAGTGTCCGGCAGCCTCGCCTCTTCAGAATATTCTTCTAAAATTATTTTGGGTTACCAGAAACAGGCTTTTGGTAGTTTATGGCACTTTGTATTTAAATTTGACCATTTACATTACGCACTGTCAACACAATATTGTCTGTATTTTGTCCATGAGGATAGATCACAAATCCCCTCACAGTGCTTTTCTTTTAACACAACAGTGAGTCTAATGGCCTCTGCAGAAACCAGATCTCAATCAAATAGAGCATCTTTGAGATGTGATAGAATGGGACACGCAACAAATTTCCACTGTTATATGCTATCATGTCAATATAGATCAAAATCTCTACAAAAGGTTTCCAGCACATTGTTGAATCTATGGCATGAAAAATTAAGGCGGTTCTGAAGGTAAAAGGGGATCCAATACAGGTACTAGCAAGGTGTACCTAATAAAGTGGCCCATTCAATTTAGTTCAGTTTTATTTATTTAATGCCAAATCACAACAATAGTCAACTTAAAGCCCCAACAATCCCTCTATGAGCACGCAGTTGGATACAGCGGGAAAGAAAAACTCTTTGTTTTGTTATGTTTTGTGTCTTTTCAGCCAAGAGAGCTGAAGTAAAACAGCAGCAACAGCTAAACTAGGTGTAGCTAAGAAAGCTAATCATTCTTGTCTGCTTCTTGTCTGAAGCTCTTTCAAGCTAGGACACTTACCCCACAAAGAATAAAATGGTGCAATGCTAGAAATGGTTTAGAAATACAGGAGAAACTTGTTAGTGGTAAATTAAGCCATAATAGAATAGAATAGAATAGAATAGAATAGAATAGAATAGAATAGAATAGAATAGAATAACCTTTTAAGGTAGCTGGACTGAGGTGAAATTTTAGCCTCTGCCTATTATCACATGGTTATTTCAATTATGTCACGCCTTTAGATGCTTGAGTTATACAAGTTCCATAAATGTGATGTTGCAATTTAAAATAATTGATACATTTACATTGATTTGATTCATTCGTCAGCCTGAAGTTGTTTACATGTTTAAATGTCTACAGTACTAAACATCAGCATTCAGGAAAGGTGTGATGCGTGCTTATTTACACTTCACAGTCTCTTTCCTTTGTAAAACCCCAGGATCAACTGTACCGCCACTATATTGAAGTCGTGTTCAGGTGATTTTATCCCGTCTTTTATCGTGTTTCTCAAGACTTCCATCCCCCAGCTGGATTTTTTCACGCTGCATGACAAGCAGTGAGCTCTTTAATAAAACAGCAGATTCATTTCTTTTAAAGCAAAAGCTTGCTTGTCCATCGTGTTGCATCATCTTCAAAAGCAGCGTTCAACAAGGCCGCTCCACTCACTCAGTCAGCTGTGTAACCATTGCCGGGTCGGCTGTGTGATAGGGCTGATGGGTAACGAGGGGGAGAATCATAGGTCTTGGTGTGACAGATAAATACCTTTATGCTTGGGTTCATGCATTTTGAAAATTTTCCCCTGGGTAATTCGCACACACATCCACATCCAAACTTCCCACATGGACATAGTAACAAAGCCAATTACCTAACTTCACATGCACACATTGTTAAAAATAGCCTTTAGCACGCAGACACACATATATACAAATCCAGTACCCAAGACAGAGTTTCCTTGTTTTCAGGTTTTAATAGTTCTTACAAAGAAAGAAGCATAAAAAATTTATTACAATTTTTCATTTGGATGGCATGGTAGCAAGTTCCCATTCTTCCACAGCTCAACACAGTTCACAGTGAACACACTCCTCTGGTGCCACTGACATCAGATAACAAGAAAGTGCAGAGAAAATGGAGAGAAAAAATGGTTTATCAGCTGAAGTTGCTCCAAGTTGCTAAATTCATCAAAAAAATAACATATAACCACACTTGCTTGCAAGTATATCAAGAACTGGATTTGGATGCTGAATTATATTTCATCTGAAGAAAGTTTTGGTCAATATTATCATTTGACATTAAGAAGCATTATTTAAATGAGTACAACATAGAAAGTACTCATTGATACACTGAACATATGCATCCAGTTTGTTGTGTTATACAACACCTGAAAAAGAGCTGTTTCAGATGACACTGGACAAGCAAACGTCATGTAGCTAGCATACAAAATATATTATTACATCATTTTGATTGGGGCGACCGTGGCTCAGGGGGTTGGGAAGCGCATCTGTAACCGGAAGGTCGGCGGTCGATCCCCGGGCTCTCTGTCCTGGTCGTTGTGTCCTTGGGCAAGACACTTTACCCTACCGCCTACTGGTGTTGGCCAGAGGGGCCGATGGCGCGATATGGCAGCCTCGCTTCTGTCAGTCTGCCCCAGGGCAGCTGTGGCTACAACCGTAGCTTGCCTCCACCAGTGTGTGAATGAATAGTGGCATTGTAAAGCGCTTTGGGTGCCTTGAAAAGCGCTATATAAATCCAATCCATTATTATTCAGCAGTTTTACATCATTTGAAATTATTATTATTCTTTTTTTTCTTTGTAACTTTGACCTTTGCTTCTATAGAGACAAAATCTACATAAATCTTGCCCCTAGAGGGAAACAATCAAATGCTCTACACTGACTTTGTGCTGTTAATGCCTTTTTGTTATCTCTCAGTGCTAGCTAAACGCTGCAGTGTGGTGAAATGCAAAATTATTATAGCTTACTAAGCTGAACTACAAAATAAACTAGATCTTTAGTTTAGTGTCAGTAAACCATAATTACTTTAATTTACTAAAATAAAAATAAAAACTAGAGTCTTGGAATAATATAATTAACTTATAATGATGCCTGCCTGTCTCCAGTAGTACTGTGTGAAGTGCCTCAGGTAGAGGATGTGAAGACATGCACTGTTGGTATTGATACTGTTACAAATGAGTATCTAAATTGCTGCATAAATTAGCATCTGAGTATCGATCTTTTTATTTCTTTTTTGTTTTGGGTTCTTTTTTGTACAACCCTACTCCAATCTGCACCCACACATTATCTACGTGAACATGATGTTTCTCTGTTTCATAGCTCTTTAAGACCTACACAGTTGCTCTAAATGCAAAACTAGATGGGAGCTGTGGAATACAGAAAATACTGAGAAGGAGCAAGACCCAGTACCATCTTCATTTAACCAACAGAAGACAACAGCAACAACAGATTTTTTTAAGCAAGCAAAAAGAAACACAAGAGTCAATTCGCAGGGTTGCATGAGCCATCAGCTGATAACATGGGTCATGGTGTGAGTAGATGTTGAATCGCCTTGGAAGGAATTTCAAAACTGCCCACGTACAGTATAGTCCCGAATTTGCCATTTTAAGATCTGTTCCAAAGCAATTCACTCATACTTGACCTATGTGACCTTAATGATTCACATGATGACAGGCTGGATCAGTGACTCTCTGCACTACCTCCAAGGTGACAGTCCCAAAAGGCATTAAATAGCTGTGATTTCCCACCAGTAGTCTTTCAGATGATAGGTGAAACTGTCATTAAAGACCCTAAAGAAAAAAAAAGAAGGCCAGCAGCGTTTAACATAAACACTGAAGAATGCTCAGTTACAACTAACCACAAGCTAACATTCAATTGAACCTTTTATGATGAATGTATCAAGCATTCTGCAGTGTGTGGCCAAATCTGTAATATCAAGTCTCACAGAGTGGTGATGGATCAAGGAGTGTGATTGGTGCAAAACCAAGCTTTCATCTACTGCGGAGAGCTATAAGCAGCTGATGAAGACCATCTGTCCATCCACCCATCCATCTTCTGCCTATCCCACTTATGTGAATGGTGGGCTACACCTTGGACAGGCTGCCAATCTATCATAGGGCCATCACAGAGAGAGACTACAAAGAGACAGACCTACAACTAAATTAATATTTAATATCATTTTAATTATTTTTTGTAAGGAAGAGAACTTGGAGAGAACCCACGGAGACACAAGGAGATCATGCAAACTCCAGACAGAAATGCTCGGTTGATGAAATGTGGATGGGCTTACCTGCACATGACTGTGCAGCTGCAATGCCCAGGGCTATTTTAAGAAATGAC